TTTGAGCTAACTCAAAATGATTGTAACCCAATCGAATCGAACGGTAACTTATCGACAATTTGTATCAATTCTAGCCCCACACCTGATGTAGAGTCGGTGTTTTATTTGTTTTTATTAAGGCCACGTCCACTGTGTGGCGGGCAGCTCCCGACGGGCGCGCCGGGCGGGGCGGGCGGAGGCTGCCTTACCGCGGGCAAAAAATCTTATGATCAATCTATCGAGTAACGGCACTCACAGGCGTAACTTATATTGCTGGTTGAGCGAGCGTTTTATCGATGTTAAAATATATCTTGTCGACTAACACGTTACCTTCCTTGGCAATATCAAAATGTGTAGTTACATACCTACACTATGGAATGTTTTGAGTATTTTGATTATTTTTGAAATAAGAAATACTTGTACATACATGTTACGCAATATCGATTTGATGGAAGGTTATATCGATATGCTTCCATGCTGCATGCTGATGTCTTTGAACCACGGAGTACCCCCACTAGAGTCCGCATCACGCAAATTTTGTTTGAAATCAAAATCGCCAAAGTCGGCGGCGTGCAGGGAGATCAGCCGCGTTGTGATTGGACACGTCAAGGTCAGATGATATACTCAGTGCAGCGAAGTGATGAGGATAAGATCGATTTTAGAAAATATCGATATTTTCTATCGATAAATAAAGGACACCCGGCATTATGTGCCAAAGTTGTATACTTTTTTATTTTTTTTATCTGTGTTTCATAATTGGGTAACGTAGTCTGGCAATATTTGTCATCAGCAGCTAGCTGTCAATGTCAAATACGTACGTTTGTCAATATAACCTCTATATGTAGCCGGGTCGTCAAGAGAAATAACGGATAAAAAGGCAATCACAGCAGAGAACATTCACAATCACAGTACGCGGGAGCGAATGATTTTTTTGTTTGTATTTTAGGATTGTCAAATTGACATTTGGTTTTTTATTTAGAAAAAGCAAAAGAATCATGGTTTTTACAGTCACTTGAGTAATATTTTCAAGTAAAATTCTGTCCCTTGAAGATTTAGGGTTTCCATATCAAAAAATATTAATCATTATATAACTTCTTTCCACGATTCACTAAAAATAAGGCAAAATTAGTTTTATGTAGCAAATAATTTTGGCTTCATTTTGAGACCAAATTCAACTATACAATATAGTATACAAGTTTAGCATTTTTTCTATGAAAAGTGCCGGATCTCCATTGTACAGAGGCCTAGTACTTTGGTGCGCTAGTGTAGCTATGCGCAAACATACTCTCTCCACTTTCTTCCAGCGTTCTAATTACATGACGCGACTAGTAACTACATACTAAATAAAATATAAGCAACACAAAAAACACGTAAAAAAATATCTAGATAGACAATAATATGCTGTTTATGACAACTTTTAAAACTTAAGGCGCCTTACTCATCGGCTCGGTACAGGTTCGTTTTGTTTGCGGGAGTGACTGTCAGTGGTAAAGTGACGAGAACATATGTAACTGTTTACAGTTGGAGTCCAATCTTTACGTTTAGTTGCACTTATCCAAAGTTCCTTCATCTTGGCACATTTTGGAAACCTATGAAATAAATAAAACACGTAATGTTACTGTATTTTGATTCTTGCATCAGTCTGTAAGATATCACCTTAAATATCTCTTTAAAGATTTTGCTCGTTGCTGTTCTCGTGAAAGGCACATGCGATATACAGACATAATGAATTTAATATTAATACGGTGACGTCCGTGGCTCTTGACTTAGCACACGCAAAATAACCTAAGTATAACCAAATTATTGATTTTGAAGGAAATTGGTAAATACTTATCAAATTTTATGCTAGCTACCACCCGCGACTTCATCCACGTTAACTTTAGTTTTTTGAAAATCCTAAAGAAACCTGACATTTTTCCGTTACAAAAAGTATTCTATACAACGATATTTTATACCCTAGATACGACAACATGTACAAAATCGTGGCCGAAACGTGACCAAAAGGTACATTTGACGATTCACAGAGGTCCGTAAGATGATCGCGTGGTCAAAAACAATGTAATGCATTATTTAAAAAAAAGTCACCTTTAATGCATACGGCATAAGCTCTTAATTAAAACGCATGCATCAAAGATTTATGGCAGTTCAAAATGCAAGTTCCTAAAATTTTACGACTTATTGTTATATGCGAAAGAAAATAGACCTTATTTTTTTTAACTTTTCGCGCTCAATTCTGAATGTGCTGTTAGCTATTATAGCAGGTACAGACCGCGAAGAAAAAAGACGGCTATAGGGCGACGTATAACCGACCATGCTTTTGAGTATCACAAATATGTTATATTAAATCAGTTTATAGTAAGTATTACAATAAAATTTGCTTCAAATGCGTTAAATTTATAATAATAATAAAAACGTTTATTTGGCTCAAATTATATAAATAACTTATTGTATTACATAAAGATGACTATGTACCAAATTATAAAAACATTAATTAGATACCTGTCGAAAAAACAACACTTTACGTACTATTAGTATTTTTTTCGCATTTTTACGGAGCTCTGCGGCATTTTGACTTTTCATCGGTCCGCGCGTGACTGTAAACCAAGAAGTGCTTGAATAAAGTTTAAGCACTTCTTGATTGGGACACATTTTGAGCGCTCGTGGTCTATCTAGGGTATTTAATATCGTTAATTCGTAACAAACATCCATACAAATTTTCGGGTTTAAAATTTTAGTACGATATGATTAAAAACTGTTGGTTGTATACTCATGATATCTGTTATTGTATACGATGAAATAAATAGTTTTTATTTATTTTTTCTATTTCCGTAGCTGACAAACTCATCGATAAACTTACGGGTACAGACATGAGCTGCGTCAAGTCACTAGCAATACACGTGCCTGTGTGAGAGCGGAATAGCATATATGATGTAGCGCATGCGAGAAAGGGATAGTGTTAAAAGACATCAACGCGTTCACCAAAAAATAAATACAATTATAAGCAATTTCATATAAGAGTATTTTTGTCTTTTTGTAATGCATTTAAACTTACCGGTGAAAAGTAATACCATCTTTTTGAAGACTGGAAGTTTTACTCCACTTTCCACATAATTTAATTGCACAGTACGGCATTTTTTCTAGTTTTTTAACGCAAAAACGAGAGATGCACTTCTGCTAACGCTCGGCTTCGGAATGAAACGATGTATAGCGACGTCTGTGGGCGTGTCTCACGCATACGTAATATACTACTTAAGCTTGGCGTAAGCGCTTGCCCTTGTATGCGGACTCTAGTGGGGGTGCTCCATGCTTTGAACGAAAGAAATCATAGGATGCGCCAGCTTTTACATTTACAATTTCAATCAGTCACTTTTGTGCCTGGGCTCTGGACTCTGGTCAAAGATTTGGCAAATGTGGCTTCACCGAGATGTAGCATAGGGCAATGAAATTTATATCATATTTTTTTCAAGCATTCAATTGTTAGATTTTTGGCGGAGTCGCCCGGATTGTGGACGGTGCGTGTTCGAATCCTGTCTGAAATCTAGAACAAGTGGAAATAATTTTACACCATATTACAATCTTTCTCACAGATACCAGGTGGATATCTTTGTCGTGCTGTCAACATAGCAATGGATAATTGTTTAAACACCTTTTAAATTCCTTTCACAAATAGACAATACAGTGAGCTGCAAACCATTCTTCAAAATATATAAAATAGTTACTCTTCCAAGCATATACCTTCACGACGTATGAGGTTGTGTATTTACAAATTCTAACGCGTTTAATAAAGTTAGCCAAACCCATAATATTAATACCCGCCATAAAAATAGATTAAATCATCCCCCATCAAAACTAACCATTAGACTTAGCAGTAGCCCTCCCTTGCTACATGGCAGTTAAGATATGAAAAATCAATTAGCACATTTAATACAAAACTTTAAAAAAATCCAATCTATAACTGCTTCTATTCTGTGGATGAATATTTAAATGTCAAGTAGATAATAATTTAAGACATCAATGCACTAAGTTATTTAAAATTATTAAAATATGTTTCAAGACTATTTATTGGAAATGTTTGAAAATTTGACCATATAATAAATCAATTTTAGTATATATAAGATACCAGAATACGTAAAGAAAGAGGAAAGCTTTCATAAATTTAAAAATCTATTAAAATCACACTTTTATAAAAATTTCACTATTCACTTGATGAATTTTTACCTCTAAGATTTTAACGCAATAAAATAGCAAATACTCGCTATCTGCATTAATGTAAATTATTCACTATTTAATTATAATAATTTAATATTTTGACATTATGTAATGACCGAGATTCTTATAGAAATGTTAATAATAATGAAATATGCATTAAATTCAATATTATACTTATGAATACTTATTTATTATTATATAATTTTTCAACTTAATTTTGCAATACCCTTACAGGGTTACACTGAGGTTAGTATAACTAAGAATATATGTAACATTTGTACATGATAGTGAAATATCTAAATATTCATACTTATACTTTGAATAAATTTACTAATTTAAGTGCTAAATATTGTAATTTTTCACATGATGGCCCCATCCGAGGGGGGCAAGCCGGGCGTTTGAACAGAGCGCAAAAAATTAGGGGCAGCAAAATTGACTTAGGGTCAGCCGTAAAATACGTCACTAAAAGGCAACAAAAAAATTTTCCTGGAGCGGCAACATTTCTAGATCGGGCCCTGGATGAGAGTATACTAAGTTTGCAATAAATGATTGCCCATTGAAATAATTAAATAAAAATGATTTATTTCTTTACCATACATTTGGTTACATAAATAAAGGTAGGCTCTCTTTTTAAGTGCAAAGACACCTGTACCAAAAAGAACCACTCTTTCATAGCATACGTTACATTATGGTAAGGTTGAAAATTTCATCTTCTATTATTTTCATTCATATCGTAAAACTATGTTGTCTTAGTTTAATTTGTCACATGATGTGGGTAGAGTAACATCTCAAACCATTGTTTTTGTTTTCAGACGCGTCGTCTTCAAACGAGGCGGTGCACCTCCAGCGGCGGCTGCTGAGCCTCAGCTCGGAGCTGGTGACGCTCCGCAACCACCTGCACGTGGGGGGGGGCGCAGGCGGGGGCGGGGGCGGGGGCGCAGGCGGGGGCGCGGCAGGGAAGGCGCCGGCGCCGCAGCCCGCCGTGCCGCCGCGCGCACCGCTCTCGCTACCGCCGCCCGCACCGCAACCGCAGCCGCCCGCGCCGCCGATATACCCACACAACACACCGTCAGGTCAGCATATCTTCTACTATATAAAAATAAGTCGGGTTTTCCTTCCTGACGCTATAACTCCAGAACGCACGAACCGATTTCCACGGTTTTGCATTCGTTGGAAAGGTCTCGGGCTCCGTGAGGTTTATAGCAAAGAAAATTCAGGATAAGTTAAAAAAAAATCTTCTTTTAATCACCAAACGAAATGTTACATAAAACGAAGCCATCTGGTGGCGAAACGGAGTTCGCCGGGTTTGCTAGTCTAATATATAAAACTAGCAAACCAGTGAACCAAATGTTCACCAATGAAAAAAAAATGTATTTAATTAATTGAGAACTTCGGAGATTTTGTGTGGTTTCGTTTGAAATACGTGATTTCTCGAAAACCGGAAGTGCTACGTTACTCAAATCCGGTTTGTAGTCTTATCAGACTATTCTTAACTTATAACTTTAATATTCTCTTTATCTATCTCTTACGGTTTGGCCGCTGAAACAGCACCACAGACGGACGGACGGACTTGTCTAATAGATAAGGGATTCTCGTGTCGCGATGTTTGTGGTTAAACTCCTCCGAAACGGCTTTCCCGATTCTCATGAAATTTTGTGTGCATATTGAGTAGGTCTGAGAATCGGACAACATCTATTTTTATCCCCCTAAATGTTAAGGGTAATCCACCCCTAAATTATTTTTTTCAATTTTAGATATTTTATTTTTATTTTTTTTTATGATACATCATACAAAAATACATACAACCCTAAATTTTCACCCTTCTCCCACCAACCCCCATTTTTTTATGGCGGTACGAAGTTCGCTGGGTCAGCTAGTCTTATATATAAAATTCTCGTGTCACATACTCCTCCGAAACGGCCTGACCGATTTTCATGAAATTTTATATGCATATTCCGTGGGTCTGAGAATCGGCTCCTATCTATTTTTCATATCCTTAAGTGATAATGGTTGTCCACCTGTAACGTAGTGTTCTGAAACCTGCTTTTGCGCCTTCGCGCCAAAATTCAAACCATTGGGTATTGTAACGTAGTGTTAATAAAAATACATACAACCCTAAATTTTCTCTTCTACCACCTGCCCCTATTTTTAAGGCGGTACGAAGTTCGCTGGGCCAGCTAGTATATATATATATATATATATATATATATATATCTATATCAATTTGTTTTAATCACCGAAAAGTATATATGCGTATCGCTTCCGAACGACTGAACGATATTGGATAATTCTTTTTTTACCGTGTTCGTTATTGTCGGAGCAAAGTTTGTATTAAAGAAAATTATATAATTATTTTATTCATTCGAACAAGACAGAAACTCCTTTGAGAGGGATCATAAACTCAAATTTATACCATTAACGTCCAGCGTAGGCAAAATTACTTTGCACTGTTTGCGCGCGCATTATACAATTTTTTCACAATTATAAAGTGTGTTAATTTTAATCATATGTATTTTATGTGACGGTACAGACCTTTTCCAACTTCAATGGTAACAAAACTTGATAGTCAGCATACAGTTACACCTGTTAAAAGTATTTGTTTTAATGTCGCAAGAAACAATAACCGATAAATTGTAGTGTTGTGTAATAACGTAAAGAGTTGCTGCAACGACGAAATCTCATTAGCAAGCAAACTGAAAAAATATTAACCGGAATAAAATTATGAACGGAAATGAATTCAATACGTAAACATACAACTGTTACAAATCAGTCCCATCATAATTGGTACCTATTTCGTTCGTCGGTATTTCGTAGCCTCAATTGCCTCAATATAGTGATATAAAATTTTATATACGACTAGCGGCCCGCCCTCGCTTCGCTTCGGTGTAGAGACGGTGAAGTGTAGGCTACAGTTTTTGTTCTCAGGCTTGTATTATACACAATGACATTCATCTATGATTCTTCTTATACCTGCATGCAAAGTCTCAGCCCGATCGGTTTAGAATTGACAAAGATTCATACAAACTTTCATTCCCTATTTTATCCCCTTGAGGGGTAGAATTGATCAAAATCCTTTCTTAGCGGATGCCTACGTCATAACATCTACCTGCATGCCAAATTTCAGCCCGATCCGTCCAGTGGTTTGGGCTGTGCGTTGATAGATCACTATGTCAGTCAGTCACCTTTGAGTTTTATATATGTATAGGTATATATAGAAATCACATAACGGTATAATAAGTCAGTTTGCGTTTGCTCACGCGCAGATGCGCGATGGCGGGGCGGGAACGCGTGTACCACGAGCGCGGGAGCGGTGGCGGCAGCGGGAGCGGGAGCGGGAGCGGGCGCGGGGGCAGACGTCGATGACCTGATCCACCTGCGCGGGCCGCTCACGGAGGACGCCGTGGTGCGCGCGCTGCAGGCCAGGTTCTACCACAACAAGTTCTACGTGAGTAATGGGCATGTTTACGCGACAACAGGTGGAAGACACCTAGTGAGGGCGGAATTTCATTTATAAGACGCAGGTAAACAACAAGTTCGTAGCACTGTTGCGGATGTCGACCGGTTTTAAGCGAGCTGACACTCCGGCTTATTAGGCATTATATAAACAAAGCCTGTGGGAAACATGAACCGTAAGATAAATATTAATGAATAGCATATCTTTTTTTAACATTTACAACCTTACAGGAAGTGCTGATTCGCACGCAGACTCGAGAGATCACGTCCACATCATAGCATTGTTAAAATCAAAATGAAACTACATACTTTACATTCGTAATTCTACTCATATTATAAATGTGAAAGTTTGTATGTTTGTTACTCAATCGCAATAACTACTGAACGGATTTGAATGAAATTTGGTACGCATCATATAGTTTATGACCTGGAATGATACATAGAATACTTTTTAATCCGGAAAAATGTAAAGTTCCTGTGGATTCTCAAACGCGGACGAAGTCACAGGCGTCCGCTAGTTGTAATATAAGCAGGATAGGTTTATCGCTGAAGTCAATATAGCACCTGGCATATTTTACTTATTTATATCACTCCCTGGCACTTATAAAAACGCGACTTCGTATCCTGCGCCTCCAATAAATTAAACATGATTCCCAATAATTCCAGGATGAGATTTGATTCAATGGGAGCATCCTTTGCTTTTTGTACCCAAATAAAAAAAGTGAACTTTAGTTGTATCATCGTCCTTGGCGCCGCACCATAGCTTTATAGAAAGGGCCACACGAGGCAGGTAGATATGCCTGCGCATACCTGCCACTGCACCTGATACCTCGCTCGCTTTAATAACAATGTCGCAAGGTATCAATTTATGTGTGTGTGTGTGTGTATGTGTAAGGGGTTTTTTTTTAATTTCTTATTACGATGTCGTTGTCGCCTATTGAGGATATTCTCCTGTACAAACTTGAATGACGATGTTTGAATATCACATATTTTTATATTTCATTTAAATTAAATTCTCATATGTCTATAGGACATTTTACAAAAACACAATTAATTAAAAAAGTAGATTTTGGCTTACCAAGTATCATTAATAAACTCCAAGCTACAGCGAATAGGTATCTAGAACGATATTAGAAGACAGCTGTAAATCCCAGGCACAGTCCAGTATTTCTGTATCACGAAATTGACCAGGCACCCACACGGTGTACTCCAATACTCCATAGATTATTGATTATTATTATCGCAAAACGAACCTAAGCGCAAGTTTCTAGTAACCTGTGCATTTCAATAAATTGGGCGCAATTTTCAGACGATGATCGGGCCAATCTTGGTGGCGGTGAACCCTTACACGGACGCGTGCAACTCTCTGACGCTGACGGCTGCGCGCGCGCACCGCCCCGAGCTGGCGCGACTTGTGCACGACGCCGTGCGACACCAGGCAGACACCGGCTACCCGCAGGCCATCATCCTCTCCGGTCAGTATCCACACCGGCTCCCTGTGGGCCATCGACCACCACTTAGTAGAGTTCCATGACTCACCAGATGGGCCCAGTGGGTGTTGATGCTGCTGGGACCAATATCTTAGCGTGCCTCCAAAAGTACGAATTTATACGAGATAATAAAAATATTTAGTCAAGATTGCGAAAGTGGTTTTACTTCTAGAATCGCAAACTGTGCGTGCTAAGCTTCTGCGAGGTTTAAGTTTATTTTTTTGTTATGTTTTTATTTATTTTTAAGCATTTAACTGCTAGGTGTTTAAATCTAAAGAAAAGTTTACTAGAAAAAAATCCACGCGGACCAGGCAGCGGACGGGACTCGAACCCGCACCCTTCGCAATCCTGGCGAATGCACTGACCATTATGCTACCACGGCCACAGAATATATACACTACGCGAAAAGAAGCGACACTTAAGCATGTGTGCTCGTAAAATCGCCCGCGGCTATGTGTGGGTGTCTGGAGGTGCGCGGGGGCGTTGCGCGGCGCGCGGGGCGTGGAGACGGCAGTCGCCGACTGCCTCGACCGAAGGGATGGCAGTAGCGAAATAGTAAAATAATAGCGTTGCACTGCATTGCACACACGGACTGACTACACTACGCAATCTTATTATTATTTAGATAATAATAAGAATTATAAAACGAATCGAAAAAGGAGAAAACATATAAAAGTTAGCAATTTGTTATAGTACCTACATTAAATGATTAAAAATTGATTATAAAATCAAACCTATCCTTCATTATTTACCCCAGTATCCTTGAATCAGTTTACATTTAATAACTTACTATGCATAAATATTCATTGGCACAAGTCTAAATTCCAAGTTCAACCCTAGCGCATACACGCTCCTGCTCAAGGTCACTGACGCTGGAACTCTCACGTACACAGAGTGTCACCGCTGTGCCACGGCCCTATTCGCCGCGTCGAAATTTTCCTAGCCTTAAGCTGCAAGGAAGCGCCATCTCTTCAATGTTTTTATTTATTTTTAAGCATTTAACTGCTAGATGTTTAAATAACATAACTATAATTGCTATTTCTTCTTTCAAATGTGTAATACTTGAAAAAGTATTCATTTGACATTGTGGGTTACCTACAATGCGAAGAGATGGCGCTGCCTTGCAGCTTCAGGTTAGGAAAATTTCGCGAAAAAGTCGCGAAGTCAACACTATGGACTTTGAGCTTTATCTGCTTACCAAGAGATTGCAGCAATGTTATTGAGCTTGTGTTATGTATTGTTATATCGCCAGGCGTGTCGGGGTCCGGCAAGACGTACGCGTCGATGGTGCTGCTGCGGCGGCTGTTCGACGTGGCGGGCGGCGGGCCGGAGACGGACGCGTTCAAGCACCTCGCCGCCGCCTTCACCGTGCTGCGATCGCTCGGCACCGCCGCCACCGCCGCCAACTCCAACTCCAGCCGTATTGTTAGTGCTATCCATTTTATATGTATATACAGGCTGTTACAAAAATACAAATAAAGCTGGAAGGGCGTTTAAGTACATCATATAAGGAGTGTTCTTTAATTTTCTTAAAATTTTTGCATGAAGTTTTAACTTTTTTTAATTCAGCTATTTTTAATGATTAATAAAATATCGATCATTTTAAAACACGTCAACTAGTTCGAGGATCATTCAAATAACTGTTTTTATGAAAAGTAAAAACTTCATGCAATTTTTTTAAGAAAACTAGAGAGGACTCCAATTATGATGTCCTTCAACGCCCTTCAAGCTCTATTTGTATTTTTGTAACTCCCTGTATACCACAAAAAATTTACAGACCTTTTAAATCCGAAACATATCAACCAATGAGGAAACTTATTAAAGGGTTTCATTTAAATTTCAAGCGCCTGACTGGACAAGTAACTTCGAACTTTTTGTCAAGTGAACAGTGGCTACAATTATGCGCGGGTTTCAGTTCTGGGCCGCGACTTGCGCTAACATCGTATGTAGGAGCCGTCGCTAGGACCCTAACGACTGTCAATATGTCAATTAGTCACGGGACGATTGTCAGGAGATAATTATTAAAATACGTCAATATTATGTAAATGCCTTTATTGCACTGTCATATAATGTAAAATATTGTTCGTAAACCAATTAGTGGGTCAACTGTGTCAGCAGTTTAAAGTGCATCGACTCGGAATGCAAACTTAATAAAATATAATTAAAATGGCTTGTACATCGTAACTAAAATTTGAATAACATCACTCTACTTACTATAATTCCTTGTTGAGGGTTACTTATCGATACCAGAAGTAACTTCCAGTCTTCAGCTTACAAAAGATTGCAGCCAGATATGCTACATTGTTAACTAATATGAGCGAAAAATTTACCACAGGTTATGTCTGTTTAAACCATAGGGTTTAATAAGTCCTTTTACTCAGCGGAGCTGTGGCAGTCTAAGGCCCGTATTATAGAAAGATTCTCAGTAATGAATCTAGTCTTGAGCATAGTCAGAAAGAGATGTCGCTATATATAGCACATAGCGGTATCCCTTTTTAACGCTACTCAAGTAAAGATCAACACGTAGTTGTCATTCTGTAATATGGGCCTAAGTCACAGTCACATAATTTATCGTTTGCGTGTATGGTATCCGCAGGGTCACTTCATCGAAGTTCAAGTGACTGACGGCGCGCTGTACCGCACCAAGATCCACTGCTACTTCCTGGACCAGACGCGCGTGGTGCGGCCGCCGGCGGGCGAGCGCAACTACCACGTGTTCTACCAGATGCTGGCTGGCCTCACGCCCGACGAGCGCTCGCAGCTACACCTCGACAAGTACTCCGCGCAGGACCTCAGGTGAATTTATTTATTTATTTATCTATTCATGGAAAACAAACGGATAAAACGAGATGATGCAGCATTGATAAGCCTTATACAGTTTTCACAAATACAGAAGAGAAAATGGTGATAAAAATATAAAGTAATTTAAATTAGGTTTATTTATTATTATTATTAAAAAAAATACTATTCACAATCTTTTTGAAATAATTTTGTCTCGCCAGAAATACGTCCACATCACTTGAATAATTATTGTTGAAATTTTGTGTTACTCTATTAAAGTAGGAATTCTGTCTATAATTTGTCGAACATAAATCATTATGGAATCGCAGATAATTGCGTCTGGCAACTGTACGGAATGGTACCTGGATTTTAACCAATGATAGCATCTCATTGCTGTCTACCTTGCCGAGAATTAAGTTGTGGAAAAATGTAGAGGAGAGAGAAAAATGTGGAGTAAAGAGAATATCATCATCATCAGCCTATTGATGACTCTACTGCTGACGCATACGCCTGAATCACCACGCGGACCTAGTGTGAATTGGTGGGTGCTAACGACTGCAGATGCAGCCGGGACCAACGGCTTAACGTGCCGTCCGAAGCACAGAGGATCTCGAGATAGAAATGTTTTGGTCACCCATTCGATGACGGACTGTTTCTGTGTTTATTTTTCTTAATTATAAGGAAGGTATTCGAAGCACTTTAAGTCATGTTAACTTTCATGGTTATTTTTAAAACCAATCACTCTTTAATTTCTATAGGCAGGCTATTGCATTCTTCAATGTTTTTCTAAAATCAGATTACACTTATAAAACATCATCATCATCATCATCAACAGCCTATCATAGTCCACTGCTGGACATAGGCCTTTCCAAATGCACGCCACTCAGATCGATCTTGGGCTACTCGCATCCAGCTCCTGCCAGCCACCTTGCGCAAATCGTCACTCCATTGTGCCTGAGGACGTCCTACACTACGTTTGCCTGGACGCGGTCTCCACTGCAGAACTCGTCTACCCCAACGGTTATCGGTTCTTCGGCGAATATGGCCAGCCCACTGCCACTTCAACTTGCTAATCCGGTGGGCTATGTCGATGACTCTGGTTCTCTGTTGGATTACCTCATTTCTGATGCGATCCTTCAGAGAAACGCCGAGCATAGCCCTTTCCATAACGCGCTGAGCGACTTTGAACCTGTGGACCAGCCGTGCCGTCAGTGTCCACGTCTCGGCTCCGTATGTCATCACAGGTAGGACGCACTGATTGAAGACTTTCGTCTTTAGGCACTGTGGGATCGACGATGTCAGGACTTGACGTAGCTTCCCAAATGCTGCCCAACCTAGCTGAATTCTTCTATTCACCTCGTCCTCAAAGTTGTTTCTACCTAACTGCAATGTCTGCCCGAGGTATACATATTTTTGAACAACTTCGAAAGCGGCACCGTGTATTGCAGTCGGTTCCGGTAGTACATGTTCATTGAACATGACCTTGGTTTTATCCAAGTTCATCCGTAGGCCGATGCGTATAGGAGACTCAGCCAGGTCATTCAGCATTTTTTGTATGTCCTGCAGGGTTTCTGCCATGATGACGATGTCGTCTGCAAATCGTAAGTGAGAGATGCGTTCGCCATTGATGTTGATGCCATGTCCTTTCCAGTTCAGCGTCTTGAACATATCCTCCATTGCATTAGTGAACAATTTCGGGGAAATAACGTCCCCTTGTCTCACTCCACGATGCAACGGTATGGGACTTGTTTGCTGATTCTGTACTTGGACAGACATGGTGGCGGCTTCGTAGAGAGACATCTTATCACTTGGATGTATCGCCAGTCGACTTGGCAACGCTGCAGGGACTCCAGGACAGACCAGATTTCAATCGAGTCAAGGGCCTTCTCATAGTCCACAAATGCTAGGCACAGGGGCTGATTGTACTCCTCAGTCTTCTGTATAATCTGCCGTACTGTGTGGATGTGGTCTATGGTGCCGTATCCGCTCCGAAACCCAGCCTGTTCCGGTGGTTGGAAGTCATCAAGTCTTCGCGCAAGACGGTTCGCGATTAAGCTTGAGAACAGCTTATAGACGTGGCTTAGAAGGGATATGGGTCGATAGTTCTTAAGTAGGGTCTTGTCCCCCTTTTTAAAGAACAAGACGACCACACTCCTACACCACACCTCCGGAGTTCTCCCTTCGAAAAGGATAGTGTTAAAAATTAAAAAGCTAAAAACTTATAAAACGAGATTTAATATTTTGTGATATAATATCGAACATATGTGATGCAATGAATCTGTTCTACTCCTGAACTCAGGATGTGCTAATATTAATCAGATATCTTAATGTACTTAAGTTCAATTATATAGAATAAGCTGTTGAAAATGTATGTCATGTAAAATAATATGGTGTGTGGTAGGTACCTGTCGTCGGGGCACGTGCGTCGCGCTGAGGGCGAGGACGCGGCGCGGTTCCAGGCGTGGAAGTCGTGCCTGGGCATCCTCGGCATCCCCTTCCTGGACGTGGTGCGCGTGCTGGCGGCCGTGCTGCTGCTGGGCAACGTGCAGTGGGCGGACGGGCCCGCCGGCGCCGAGCCCGCCGACCACGCCGCCCTGCACGCCGCCGCCGCGCTGCTGGGCGTGCCCCCCGCCGCATTACTGCGAGGTACCGGCCCTCCCCTCTAGTGACGCGCAGGGGGCGGACGGGCCCGCCGGCGCCGAGCCCGCCGACCACGCCGCCCTGCACGCCGCCGCCGCGCTGCTGGGCGTGCCCCCCGCCGCATTACTGCGAGGTACCGGCCCTCCCCTCCCCTCCCCTCTAGTGACGCGCAGGGGGCGGACGGGCCCGCCGGCGCCGAGCCCGCCGACCACGCCGCCCTGCACGCCGCCGCCGCGCTGCTGGGCGTGCCCCCCGCCGCATTACTGCGAGGTACCGGCCCTCCCCTCCCCTCCCCTCTAGTGACGCGCAGGGGGCGGACGGGCCCGCCGGCGCCGAGCCCGCCGACCACGCCGCCCTGCACGCCGCCGCCGCGCTGCTGGGCGTGCCCCCCGCCGCATTACTGCGAGGTACCGGCCCTCCCCTCCCCTCCCCTCTAGTGACGCGCAGGGGGCGGACGGGCCCGCCGGCGCCGAGCCCGCCGACCACGCCGCCCTGCACGCCGCCGCCGCGCTGCTGGGCGTGCCCCCCGCCGCATTACTGCGAGGTACCGGCCCTCCCCTCCCCTCCCCTCTAGTGACGCGCAGGGGGCGGACGGGCCCGCCGGCGCCGAGCCCGCCGACCACGCCGCCCTGCACGCCGCCGCCGCGCTGCTGGGCGTGCCCCCCGCCGCATTACTGCGAGGTACCGGCCCTCCCCTCCCCTCTAGGGACGCGCAGGGGGCGGACGGGCCCGCCCACTGCGTGGTACTGCGAGGTACCGGCCTTCCTTTCCGTGCTTCGGAAAGCACGCTAACCCGGTAGTTCCGACTGCTAGACTAATTCCGTTTCTTGAGTAATATAGGCTCGGATTGTTTGTAAATTGATTCCTTTTCTAATTTCCATAACATATTGTAACTGAAGCACCGAGCTTCACTACTATATCTAAGATCAGTGTCTCATCGGAGCTATACTTGTCCAGGTCTAGCGACCCGCAGCGCGCCCCGTCGGCTGCGCAGTACCGGCACGGCGCCGGTCCCGGCGGGCGCGCCGGCGGGCGCGGCGGCGGCGGCCCGCGACGCGCTGGCCAAGGCGCTGTACTGCCGCACCGTCGCCACCATCGTGCGCCGCGCCAACTCGCTCAAGCGGCTCGGCTCCACGCTCGGCACGCTCAGCTCCGACTCCAACGACTCCGTCCACCAGGTATTGTTACTCTCCAATCGTTCCTTCGTTACTGAGGTCCGTGATCACTCATTGTCTTTGTCTCATATTACAGAGCAAAAGGCGGATGGAGCGAACGGTACACAGATTACGTGCAACCAAAGTAAATATGAAGTCAAAAGTTAAGACTTTTTTTCTCTTTGTAAAAAGGTTTTACAATTATTAAACATGGCGGCGCAGTTTTGATAAACTTAATGTTCGCAGGACGTATTCACAACACGATGCGTTGTAGTGTACTGACGGGAGTTGTTATTCGCTTTTGATTGATATTTGCTTTGGTGGGTGGAATCTGTGTACTATGCGCTTTAGCTACATTTAGTTCTGTAATCTGAGGTCCTTATAATCTGTCTTCATCGGTTTCTGACCTGATGAGGAAGTTGCGCTCTCACTTGAACAGACCATCTATAATTCAGGACTATGGTCTAATTGGTCTAGTTAGATTGATTGATTAGACAATTATATTTTATTTCAAAAGTTTCATTTTCTGTAAAGCGTGTGATAAGATCTTAATTGCAAAGGGAGAGAGAGTGATAATTTTACCAACCATTTAACATACAGGTACTATATTTCAGTAGTCAAGGGTTAGAACTGGGGCTTAGTAATCCTTTGCATATTATTTTTACCTGGGTATCTCTTAGACAAGTCCGTCCGTCCGTCCGTCTGTGGTGCTGTTTCAGCGGTCAAACCGTAAGAGATAGATAAAGAGAATATTTAAGTTATAAGTTAAGAATAGTCTAATAAGACTACAAACCGGATTTGAGTAACGTAGCACTTCCGGTTTTCGAGAAATCACGAATTTCAAACGAAACCACACAAAATCTCCGAAGTTCTTAATTAAATACATATTTTTTTTAATCAGGTTTTGGTGAACATTTGGTTCACCGGTTTGCTAGTTGCGATTAATAACAGAAGACAGGGAGTAACGATATTTTATTTTGAATATTCTCAATGAGCCTCGCGATAGACTGAGACGAAGCAGCTGGAAGTACAAGTGATGTGATGCACAGGACGCAGCGTCCCGACGCGCGTCGAGCGTGGGCCGCGGCGCGGGCGGGAGTGGGAGCGGGGGCGGGGGCGGTAGAGGCGGGGCGGGCGCGCGGTCGATGGCGGCGCTCAACGACGCGGTGCGACACGCCACGGACGGGTTCGTGGGCATCCTGGACATGTTCGGGTTCGAGGAGGCGGCGCCCTCGCGGCTGGAGCACCTGTGCGCCAACCTGTGCGCGGAGACCATGCAGCACTTCTACAACACGCACGTGTTCAAGTCGGTGGCGGAGTCGTGCCGCGAGGAGGGCGTGGCGTGCCTGGAGGTGGAGTACGCGGACAACGTGCCCTGCATCGACCTGGTGTCCTCGCTGCGCGGCGGGCTGCTGGCCGCGCTCGACCGCGAGTGCGCCGCCAAGGGCGAGCCCGACCGCTACGTCGCCAGGATCTACAACGCGCACAGGTACAACGCGTCTGCATACCTAAAATATTCGTATCGCTCGATTAACATACACACATACACGCGTGTTTAATAAAAAAAATGTTGGATAAAAACACAATATAAAACGTGCACGGCGAACGCAGAGAACAAAATCGAAAGAAACACTGATGTGGCATCCGGCTCGAAGGACCAGTTTGTACGGGATGTGTGTTAGTACAAGAAAATAAAGTAGAATTTACAAAGGTACCTGTTCGGGTTGAAACTAATAAATGATAAACTGATATTGTAGTATAAAACTGTATATTTAGAGAAAGGACTAAAAATAACTATAAAATAATAATTGCTATGAGTACGCGCGACTTGATGAGTTCATGATTGCGAACTGATTTTGTGCAATAAAATTAATTGTGAATAGGTAATTTAGGTCAACGAAATGTGCTGATGTGACGATGTACGCGCTTGCTCGTACAATACCGTTAATTAGCACGCGAATGTTATTTAACTAATGTTAATAGTGTATGACGGTAATGAATCGCGATTGAAACGTAAATTGATACGTCGCGTTCTAATTCCGACATACTGAAATAAAAATACAATGCTGCAAAATATGACACGTAAATTAATTACGATATTATGGGATTTATTAAATGGTACACAAAAACTAAGCAAATAGACTGCTAACTGAATAATATAAAATTTATATGTGCGCTCAATAATCCTGTTTTTAATTAACAATAAAATATAATGCGGAAAATATGTTGTGGTCGATTCAGGGGTCACCCGCGACTGGCGGAGCCTCGTACCAGCGTCGGCGTCGCCAGCACGCGGCGGTTCGTGGTGCGGCACTACGCGGGCGACGTGACGTACGACGCGACGGACTTCCTGGAGGCCAACCGCGACGCCGTGCCCGACGAGCTGCTCGCCGCCTTCGACACGCGCACATGCGATTTCGGCTTCGCCACGCATCTGTTTGGTTCCGAGCTCAAGGTACATCTAATATATAAAATTCTCGCATTTGTTATTGTTTGCGTAATTGAACTATTTCGAAACGACTCGACCGATTTTCGTGAAACTTTATATGCATATGCAGTGGGTCTGAGAATCGGACAACATCAATTTTCATCCCCCTAAATGTTAAGGGTGGCCCACCCTTATTTTGTTTTTTAGTGGACAAAATTTTTTGTTTTTATTTTTTTATGATACCTACATCATACAAAAATACATACAACCCTTAATTTTCACCCTTCTACCATCAACTCCTATTTTTTTATGGTGGTATGAAGTTCGCTGGGACAGCTTGTATTATTATAAAAGACTCTTCAAATTAGTGCACCCGCGGAATGAAGCTTTGGTAACTTGATTGACGATATTGTTTTTTTTTAATTTTCCGCAACGACAACAAGTGTTGTGATACAAGGGTTTTTTTAAGTCGACCTAATTGTCAAATTGTCAGTAATTGTTAACATAAAATGGGGGCTGCGTAAGATTTGCGTTACAATTTCCAGTGTTTTTGTTGTTAGTTACAAAATGGTGCTAATTTTTTTTGAACGCAAAATCAATGACGTCTTCTAGAAAAAATAGATACCAAGCTGACATATGGCACAGACATAAATAAAATAGCGAAATGAGGCACTAATGGTAAGCGACCACCAAGCTTGCGAGTTGCGATAATAAAAATATCAATCACACCATTGCCTACGCTCACCCAATTCCCTGCCCTATAGAGCCCTGCAACCTTACTCACCGACAGAGACACAACACCACTAATAGGTAGTTGTTTAAATAAAACTAGTTTTTACGGGTTAATGCACGAAACTTTATTTATTTATTGACGTTTCGTAGCCTTAAATTTACAGGCTTCGTCGTCAGAATCAAACTTTTATTTAATTTGTCGAGCTACCTTCTGTAGCAATATAATTTTAGAATATTAAGTTGTAGAAATATTACTAATCAAAGCGCCATCTATCACCATACGTATCCATCATCTAACAATGTAATTGGTTTTAAAGAAGCACAGAATATATTATAAAAAAAAAAATATGATAGTTGTATTTGAATGATGAGATAGATGGAGTTGTATTTAATAGTGTTAAATGAAATTACACGTATTGATGACGTGATTAGCTATTGTTCAGGAAGCAGTTTCTTGGAGGGAGATGGGCGTAGCCGTATTAACCGGTCCTGTCAATTCCTCGCACCAAATATGGTGATTTGAGAGAAATTTGCTAGGACGCCGTCACGTGATCCTAGGCCACTATAAATAGCTTTGCGCAGACGATTTCACTCTCTTTTGTCTGCGAACCGAACACTTGAACATCTAGTAAATTGCACAGTGACTGGAAAGTATAGTCAGTGCATAATTAATTAAAATATTTTCCCCGGATTAACGGGTAAGTCCAATATAACTAACTGTTTAGGCTGTAGGTCAAGTTAGGTTTTTTATTGAACTATAGAAAAATGTGTAATTGTTTCTAGGTCCTTTGAAGTGGCTAATTAAAAACAGTATACGATAATCACAATTACTTAATCCTGGTTGGGATTTCTTTGGAAATATATATATAAATATAAATGAGCCTGTGAAGCATTCTTGATCGAAAGTAGACGGGTTCATGTGATGACAGCACGTCCTGATTCATTCCTGAGGACATTTGAGTCACCTTGATGTTCCCGTGGTCTTAAAGCTAAGTAAAACTTATACCTTCTTAATATTTAACCGGTGCATACTCCGAAGAACAAAATTTCTGTTTAACGTAATAAAGTATTTATATTAGTAAACTATAAAGCCACTAGAAGAAGAATTCAAATTTCATTACATATTGTTTGTTATTTTCCAAAACCAAATGTTTACATAAAATGTTTAAATAAATATTTCTGCATTTACACATGTTCTTGAATGTATGAACATCACTGAAGTTAAAATCTTTGAGGTTGTAAAAGCTGTATATTTATAATAGTTGTCTATAAATAGTATTGATTTTATTAAGTATGATGAAATAAGATCTGAATATTAACAATATATATCTTGTTCACTGCGGTTCTTGGCATTTTTATTTATCTCCCTCAAATAATAGTATTACGGCGCCCTGAATATAGAATCTTTTAATCTTGAGTCTCATGTAAACCCTGAAAAAGTCGGTGGTAACTAAAATTGTTACACTTCGAAATACTTTTATTGAGCGTTCGGTTATTTCATTGTTCGATTTTTAAAGTTTTATTGTCTATGTATGAATTTATTATTAAATTTACTTAATAAAGTATTTTATTTAAATTCTTTTTTGTAATTTTGAGTTTATTTATTTGACCCTAACTACCGTAAACTACCACCGGTTCCAAAATTGGGAGACCTTTCTGAGAAGAACCGGCGAAACAAACTCAAGAGAGGCTTTCTATCTCTTTCTTATGTTAAATTATGCAACACAAAAATAAATAAAGTTTCGTGCATTAACCCGTAAAAACTAGTTTTATTTACTAATAGGTAGTGTTATTTTTCTATGATCTTCTTTAAAATGGAGGTTACTTCCCCAAACGGACTTTTTAATTCGAGTGGAGAATCCACATTGCCCTCTGCCTCTTGTGGAATCTATTCTATCCATAAACGGGCATTCCAATTTGCTAAGACTATGTTCGTGTGCCCCTTTCTTGGTATTTTTGATAATTTATCGACTACGAAAGTAGCTCAATGAAAGAAACTGATGCATTGCAAAAACAAACATATGGTTTTAACAACACTACAAACACATAAAAAACTTGGAGCTGCATTCAGCTACTGAAGATTTCAAATGAGTTATGAGGACGAATGATCCATTATTTATTTATTTATTCATGGAAAACGAACGGCATGTTAAAACTAAGGTTAAACGAGATTATGAAGCATCGATAAGCCTTATACAGTTTTCACAAATACAAATCAAATAAAATATATTTAATCCGATCGAGGCCGTAGATTAATTTAAAACTATATAGAAATAAAAACGCAGAAGTAAAAAATTAAGCATAAAGCCATACCCACAGAGAAAGTGGTGATAAAAATATAAAGTAATTTAAATTAGGTTTTATTATTATTAAAAAAAAATACTATTCACAATCTTTTTGAAATAATTTTGTCTCGCCAGAAATACGTATTATCGCGTTTTACAGGCGTTAGCAGCGCACGGTGGTCCAGCAGGCGCCCAGTTCCGCGCTTCCCCTACAGCGGGCGGCGGCGCGGGCGCGGGTGCTGGTGCTGCAGCGGGCGCGGGTGCCGGCGCAGGCGCGGGGCTGGAGGCGGCCTCCACGCTGACGCAGGACTTCCACACGCGCCTCGACAACCTGCTGCGCACGCTCGTGCACGCGCGCCCACACTTCGTGCGCTGTCTGCGCGCCAACCATACCGAGACGCCCATGCTGTTCGAGAGGACCACCGTAGCGAAACAGGTACGACAACTTGCTATTGCAATATCAACTTATCTTATGTAAACTGGTCGAGTTTCAGTTGAATTCCTGTCATATATTAGACGGTGGCCCCTTATATTGACAGTGAAATTGTGTATATAACGTGAGTGTGTAAATACTTACATATTTTGTAAAACGTTTAGACTGTCTACTTATACTGGTTCGTGAAATTCGATCTTTAAGATTCGATTCCTCCATTTGTAGAGACCGTTACTAGGACCCTGACGACTGCCAATATGTCATTTAGTCACGGGACGATTGTCAGGAGATAATTTTTAAAATACGTCAATATGATGCGAATGCCTTCATCGCACTGTCATATCATAATGTAAAATATTGTTCTTAAACCAATCAGTGGGTCAGCTGTGTCAGCAGTTTAGAGTGCATCGACCCGAAATGCAAACTTAATAAAACTATTATAACTACTAAGTGATTATTTTAGGCACCTTTTAATTCCCCTCCCCCCTGGTGATGTATAATGCGGTGAAGTCTTAGACTAATATGGCATTTATAGAAACTTATTTAAAATCGCCAAATTATTTCTACATTCTCCACATTTTTTTGATGGAACCACTTAATGAATTCATTCGGTCTCTTTTATTGCCAGCAAAGTATAAAGTAAGGCTGTTCGTAAATAGAATTCGTCGCTTTGTTAAGGTGCGCGCCCTCCAAATCCTGGAGACGGCGCAGCTGATGGCGAGCGGGTACCCGCACCGCATGCGGTTCCGCGCGTTCAGCGGCCGCTACCGCGCGCTGTACGGGCGGCGCGGGGCGGGGTCGGGCCCGGGCCCGGGCGCGGGCGCGGGCGCAGGCGGGGAGCGCGAGTCGGGCGCGGCGTGCGCGCGAGTACTGCGCTCCGTGTGGGCCGCGCACGCACCGCCCGCGCCCGCTTCACCCGCCGCTGTGCGGTGGGCGCTTGGCAAGCGGCATGTTTTCCTCAGCGAAGGCATGCGACAGGTAAATACAATATTGCTGTGCGGCGCCGGGCTGGAGCAGTAGCTGGCAGTTACCGACGCGCACTTGAGGGTGGAGGATGTTACACGCAGGAGTCTTGACGGCGATTTGGGGACTGTAGCTTTCGATGAATAAAGCTCCCAGTGTTCTGTATCGAAGAAAATCGGTGGGCGCTGGTAATGGATGTCCGGTCGAAGAGTCTTCAGGTCCAGAGTGAAGCGCTTGTTTCTTCCTGTTCCTTTAGGTAGGAGCGCCTGTAGCTGTCTGACATGTCGGACCCTGTTCCGGCCCGTTTTTTATAAGCACGGACAGGGCTGGTCAGCGATCCATTACCTCACCCCCGTTATACTTAATTAGGGCTGCCATCTCGAAAATGTGGCAACTAGTATAAGACGCGTGATAACCCCGGATTTTGGAGCCCAGAACCCGGACAGACCAATAATAAAACAGTTAAAAATGTCACAAATCAACTTTTTTTATGTTGATGTAGGCAAAAAAGCTAGCGGTCTGCCTCATAATTCAACTCAACTCAACTCAAAATATCTTTATTTAAATGGACTTTGGTAAGTACTTTTAAATCGTCAACTCCCTACCACAGTTTCGAGATGCAATAATTATTTCACTTAAATATCTAATTATTATGCTGCTTTATCGGAGAAGAAGCGGCGAAAGAAACTCCACAGCTTACAATTTCGTACTGATCTTACAACATCATTACAGGTCAATAGTTACATCAAAAAATAATAATAATTAAGGTAATAAAAGTACAGTTTTAGATGCGTAAATTTTGGGCAGATTTTACTCCCACGCATTTTTATCATTCAAATAGTCATTAATTTTATAATAAGCTTTTTTATACAATTTAGCTTTTAAAGTTGTTTTAAATTTATTAATAGGCAAATCTCTCATATTATTTGGAAGCTTATTGTAAAAACGTATACATTGGCCCACAAAGGAATTGTTTATTCTGTGGAGACGAGTCTTATGTACAACCAAATCGTGTTTTTTCCTAGTATTAACATTATGTGTATCACATTTTTCACAAAAATGTATAATATTTTTCTTTACATATAGTAAGTTGTCCAATATATATTGTGATGCTACAGTTAGAATATTTATCTCCTTGAACTTTTCTCTGAGGGAGTCACGCGGATGTAGTTGATAAATTGCTCTAATAGCCCGTTTTTGCAGTACAAAGATGGTATTAATATCTGCTGCACTCCCCCAGAGAAGAATCCCATATGACATAATGCTATGAAAATAACTGAAATAAACCATTCTAGCCGTATTCACGTCAGTAAGTTGTCTAATAGTTTTAACAGCGTACGCCGCAGAGCTAAGTTTACCATATTTTTGCAATATGTAAACCCCATTGCAATCTAGAATCTAGCGTCACTCCTAAGAAAGTGGTACTTTCCACAGGCTTCAATTCCACTCCATTTATATATATATTAGTTTCTACACTTCTGACATTTGGTGTAGAAAATTTAACTAACTTGGTTTTTTTCTCATTAAGCAACAAGTTGTTAATATTAAATAACTGGACACTGCTGCCCATGGACACTTGCAGCACCAAGGGCCACTCATCCGTTGCCGGCTCTGAACGAAAAGGTTCATCCGCCTTTTTAAGATTACCATATCATAGCTATAAGAAAAGAAAAACTGAGGAAAGTTCGTTCTAGATCATGCTGGTACGCAAAGAAAGGAACACATGCTGCTCGAACGCCAGGAGTCCAGATGGTGGGCGTGAAACTTCTCTGCGGTGTGTGCTGTGAAGAAACTTGGCCACTGGCACCCGGTTTAATAATTGCTCGGAACACTCTCCATTGATTGTATAGACGGTACGACACGCAGAAGGAGTTGCGTCCTTTTACGTGTTGTACCGTCTGCGCATGCTACGCAACGCATGAGTGAGCTCATGAGCATCGATATGTCAAACTGCCCGCTTTTGTATCCGGTCAAGAGGAAGGAGCTGGTATTGGATTGCTCCAGCCCAGAGGATCAGTGCTTTGTAAAGTAACACCCGATATTTAGGCTTGATGTACTTACTAGATCTATTGAACTCGCAAGCTTTTTCACACACTTGTGTCTTTGCTGGGTTAATCCAATAAAATTTTGTTGGCTCCAATTTGAGACTTGATCCAGTAACATCTCAATCTCGGACAAAAGTCTGTCTTGACACCCTTCTTCTTCCATCCGAGGGATGTTTGACCGGCCAGTGTTAAAAGTTTCAGTGCTGTCATCCACATAGCAACGAATGCTGTTATTGCGGACAGTGTGGGCGACAAAGCAGATCTTTGTTGGAAGTCAGCATTTATGGTTACAGTGTTAGAATATATTTATTTATTTTCAAAGACATATAAATTGACGGATTAATTGGCGACCCAAAACAGGAAATTTTTAAACCCGGACTACAAATGAAACCCCGCCCGGACGTTCCCCGGACGGCCCGTAAACTAGGACAAATCCGGGGAAACCCGGACGGATGGCAGCCCTATACTTAATTATTCATTTATTTGTTACATACAATATCCCGAGCTTAAATCTATAGGTACATACATAGGGCATACAAATTAGCATATTTTTAGTGCATGTGCGCGGCCAAAATCATCATAATTTAGCTATGGCGCGCAAAAATAGGTCTCCGCGATATTTAAACTCGCCCCTCCATGGGGCTCCGCCCGCCACAGGCCTGTTTTCCCCACCAACGCAGTCCTCGTGCGTCGCGTGGGCAGCGTGCTTAGCACGTTTCATAATAATTGATTTTATGATGAGGCTACAACAATAAATAAATAATCGCAGGTGTTAGAGCGCATACGTCGCGCGCGTCGCCAAGCGGCGGCGGAGTGCATCCAGGCGACGTGGCGGCAGCACCGCGCGCGCGGGTCGCGGCCCGCCCCCGGCCCCGGCCCCGGCCCGCCCGGCGCCGGGCCCGCCCACGCGCTCGCGCCCGCCCCCGCGCCGCCCGCCCGCCCGCGACCCGCGCCCATAGCGGGCACGCCGCCCCCCGACCCCGCCGACAAGTGCGACCAGGCGCTCGTCAAGAAGACCTGCTCGCTATTCGGACTCGACTTGGTGAGTACCTACCTAATTATCCTAGACTTTTTCATCTTCGCAATGGGCGTTCCCGCAACTCGTCGTCCTTTGCTTCCATCTTCGCCACAGTGGCCACAGGTAGAAGCTGTCGCCTTGCAAGTTTTAGCGGCATGGCCATATTGCTGGCAATTGTAGCATCTAGTTACAAGTGTGAAATCACGTACCGAGCAAAAATTCCAGTTAATAAAAAGTCTGTCCTGTATAATTAAGGCTTTGCGTATAGTAGCAGGTACTTCTAAAATATAGTTGCAGGTGTCTGCATCTCGTTTTCCTGATTTGTGGCTCAGTTTTATAGAGTTCAGGAAAGTATCTCTAGATATATTTAATGACGATTCTGCTACGTTTTGCTCGTAGATGCACTTATAGACGTCACTTTCAGTCATAGATGAAGGTACTCCTATGATTATAATACGCGGCTTGCGTTTATTGGTCTCATCAACAGTCAGGCCTGAGTTTGCTAACAGCACTGAATTTTTCAATTTATGGATGTCGTCTTTGGTCTCAGTGCTGACGATCACTCCTCCATTTCTTACTTTACGAAGACCACGTACTTTCAGTTTCATCTCCTCAGGGCTAATAATTTTTTGGACCAAATTTTTTGTTTCGTCACTACTTTGTGCAGCATTGCTTGGGTAGATTACCACAGAACTGACAGGGCTAGGGCGAATAAAGTTGTTGGATCCCTTTTTTACCATGTCTGCAAAAGACGTGTTTGTTGTAGCAGATTTAGTGCAGGATTCCTGTATAGTCTTTTTAAAATCAGTAAGACAAGCTGAGAGGTCATGGTTTTCCTTTAAAATTTGCAAATTAGAGTGAGTTGATAACGCCTTTTGCTTTAAAGACTGATATTGAACAGCCATTTGCGCAACTCCATGTCCAACTTTTCGACAGAGATTATTAATCCTAAGTTTGTGGTCAGATACTAGTTTTCCCTCATTCGATATGGTACATACTTCTTGTAAATATTGCTCAATTGAGGTAAGCCAGTTTTGTATTTCCGGAGTAGATACTATTTTTAAGGTATCCATATCATCCTGGTCTTGAGTTGGATGGCTGGGCGTCGTTGGGGGAGGAGTGCGGCGAGTAATGCCGCTTCGATTAAAGGGGCTCTCACTTGACATAATTCTTACTGAGCGTAACCTCATAATACGCTTAATCACTATTTAAACTAGGTCACTATTATTTAACTGTTAATTTATTTTATAAGCGCGATGAGCACGTCTGTACGCTAGTACGATCGATCGACGATCCCTCCCTATATGTAGTTTCACTGTTTAGCAAATTCATGAACTGATGTGTTGTTATGTTTATGTTATGCCAGGAGCGTCCACCGCCTCTGCCGCCGTCACGCGCGTACACGGTGGCGGGCGGCGTGAAGCTGGGCTACCCGCAGCAGCGCGTGGTGGCGGCCGACTGGACCGAAGACAACGCGCCCGCGCCGCTGCGCCTGCGGCCCGGCGACACCGTGCTGGCCGTCGCGCCCGCCAGGCCCGGCCACGTCACCGTGCAGGTACATACTGGCCGCAGCACGCGTGTGGCACGCGACTGGACCGAAGACAACGCGCCCGCGCCGCTGCGCCTGCGGCCCGGCGACACCGTGCTGGCCGTCGCGCCCGCCAGGCCCGGCCACGTCACCGTGCAGGTACATACTGGCCGCAGCACGCGTGTGGCACGCGACTGGACCGAAGACAACGCGCCCGCGCCGCTGCGCCTGCGGCCCGGCGACACCGTGCTGGCCGTCGCGCCCGCCAGGCCCGGCCACGTCACCGTGCAGGTACATACTGGCCGCAGCACGCGTGTGGCACGCGACTGGACCGAAGACAACGCGCCCGCGCCGCTGCGCCTGCGGCCCGGCGACACCGTGCTGGCCGTCGCGCCCGCCAGGCCCGGCCACGTCACCGTGCAGGTACATACTGGCCGCAGCACGCGTGTGGCACGCGACTGGACCGAAGACAACGCGCCCGCGCCGCTGCGCCTGCGGCCCGGCGACACCGTGCTGGCCGTCGCGCCCGCCAGGCCCGGCCACGTCACCGTGCAGGTACATACTGGCCGCAGCACGCGTGTGGCACGCGACTGGACCGAAGACAACGCGCCCGCGCCGCTGCGCCTGCGGCCCGGCGACACCGTGCTGGCCGTCGCGCCCGCCAGGCCCGGCCACGTCACCGTGCAGGTACATACTGGCCGCAGCACGCGTGTGGCACGCGACTGGACCGAAGACAACGCGCCCGCGCCGCTGCGCCTGCGGCCCGGCGACACCGTGCTGGCCGTCGCGCCCGCCAGGCCCGGCCACGTCACCGTGCAGGTACATACTGGCCGCAGCACGCGTGTGGCACGCGACTGGACCGAAGACAACGCGCCCGCGCCGCTGCGCCTGCGGCCCGGCGACACCGTGCTGGCCGTCGCGCCCGCCAGGCCCGGCCACGTCACCGTGCAGGTACATACTGGCCGCAGCACGCGTGTGGCACGCGACTGGACCGAAGACAACGCGCCCGCGCCGCTGCGCCTGCGGCCCGGCGACACCGTGCTGGCCGTCGCGCCCGCCAGGCCCGGCCACGTCACCGTGCAGGTACATACTGGCCGCAGCACGCGTGTGGCACGCGACTGGACCGAAGACAACGCGCCCGCGCCGCTGCGCCTGCGGCCCGGCGACACCGTGCTGGCCGTCGCGCCCGCCAGGCCCGGCCACGTCACCGTGCAGGTACATACTGGCCGCAGCACGCGTGTGGCACGCGACTGGACCGAAGACAACGCGCCCGCCCGCATCTCCTTCTTGATGATAACGTCGTCGCAAAAGGAGAGTATCGCTATCCAGTATGTGTTAGTTGCTGCACAACATTGCTTTCATAACGCCGGACAGAGAGAAATTCCATCCTGTTGCTATGATCATATCATGGCGCTGCCGATATCACGACGAGTCCGCGATATGATATTAAGCAGAGGCGTATTTTGAAATCTGACGCCCTGGGCCATTTACAATTTGCACCCTCCTCCAAGAATTAGTAAATCTCAGCAAAATATAAGCCTGTAACGAATGCCTTTATATGGTTTTTGTCGCCATTCGAAGATCTTGCAGCCGTCCCTCGCAACCTGTCTACCCGGACCATCTTCTTGGCCCTAGGGTAAATATGCCCCTGCTAACGAGCTCCTAATGCACTTGTCGCACTGCTGGACCTGCAGTCGTTAGCACCTACCAAAACATAGTAATAATAGTGGACCATGGCTCAATCTTGCTATTCTATCAATAGGGAAGGCTTGGGCCCCTGCAGTGGGGATATAAAAGGCTGACAATGATGTCATGTGTATGTATGTTTGACTACCTCCGTAAATCGAGTGGTAGGTACGCCGGTTTTCAAGGTGTCGCCTATCTACTCAGAGGTCCCGGGTTCGAATCCCGGTGGGGCAAATGTTTGTGTGATGAATATGAGCATTTGTACCTCAGTCATATTTATATGATATTCTGTCTATTAATCTAGTATCCCATAGCGCAAGCCCTACAAAGCTTATTTTGAGGCTAGGTTAATTGGTGTGTGTGGTAGAAATATTTATAATATTTAATAATGTATAATTTCCCCCAGGTGGGCGGGCGCCGCGTGTCGGTCCCGCACGCGGTGCTGGGCCCCCCTCGCGCCGTGACCGCGCGCCCCCCGCCCCCCCCCGGCGCCCCCCGCACCACCCGCGCCCCCCCTGCCGGCTCCCGCGTCCGTCGCACCGCTCGCGTGACGACATGGACCTCCCATCGGAGCCTACATCATCAATCATACAACCAGAAACAAGTTTAATAGTGGTGTCGATTCTGGCGTGATTCTCTAAACTTAAAACTAAATTTAACATCAGTCTCTCCTTTTCATTCTTTATAGAGAATGACAAGGATATACTGCTGTCAAATTTAAGTTTAGGTTTAGAGAATCATGCTAGAATCGACACCAGTAGCTAGCTATTCGACTATTGTACAAAACCGATCCACTACCTATCTATAGCCAGACAAAGCATTAAAAATTCCGTTACCGATACAGCCAGACCAGTGCAATATATAGTTCCAAACTTTCATGGTCGCTAATATTATAAAAATATAAGTTATTTACGGGATTGTTACTATGTACTTTGTTTTTAGCCTTAGTTTCAGATATTTTGGCACTGTTGCAAGCGCCATGATCACGGAGTAACTGAAGTAATTGCGGGTAGGCTGTTATTGGCAGACATATCGGTCTACCCTCCGACAAAGTCTTTTATTGCGTCCGATACCCGTCCCACTGTTCACATTCTCACTATTCACTCGAGACTGTTCTCGACACACAACACTTACAGTATCTGATCGTTGGCCAATGTACTAATTGCCACAGCTGCAATCGATTTTATAGACACCAGGTTTCTCCAAGGGGAAGTTGTCTTTAGGAGACCATAGGTATAGTGAATCCTTTCGTAAAAACAAGGTACATGGTAACAATCCCGTAAATAACTTATATTACTATAAAACAAGTGTAAGTTTGAAACTCTATTACATTTATATATCTACTAACTTTGCTGTAAGTAAATTTTGCAAAGGAGCATGATTATACCATAAGGGTGACCGACAACATTGTGCTTTGCTGCGCTGTGCTGTTAATGCTAAACTTAAAATATGAAATACAACACGCATATTTTTGGTTTCATCAGTAAAATAAAACTAATTAACTAAATACATTGGAGTAAATAACATCACAGCGCAGCATAGCTTGATGTTAATAGGTTACCAGTCCAGTAGGCCTATTCATGGCGCAAAAACAAAGGGCCTATTAGCTAACTGCTTTTGACAAAAGGAAGTGATGATCAACGAGCTATTTAGTGAGCTATTTACTGCTTTATTATAACGCCACTTGGATACCTGCTTGTTCTAAAAGCATCGTTGGATATGCAATTTTCTCTTTAGTTTTTATGTTAAAAAAGTTAGCGAATAGTCGGCAGCAGAGAGGTGGGCAACATATTATTTGAAAAGGATAAATTCGATACAATAGCAGGGACAAAAAATCTTACGCAACGAGATGATTGCAGTTTTGAGATTAAATAAAACATATTTGCCGCTCGTCACAAATGGTATTAAAATATTTTTTGTGTACTAAACGTAAATGACGGAACTGGCTGTATAAGTTTCTGAATTCCACAAAGGACAACTGTGGAGCCAGCATAATTTCCATTTTTGTTAATTTTATAATAATGTCTTTTTAAATCGTTTAATTATTTCAAATAATTAAAAGGAGTTTAATTACCGTAACGATTTCATGGCTTTCTTGCAAATTCTGTTTAGTGTTGTATATTAAATGTTAAGTTAAAATTAATGACTCGGTGCCTTACACCTACATATAAGTGTAAATAATAGCTCTAAGTATTTATGTTAGCGTGCGAAGTGGTCGGACGCCGCGGCGCCGGCGCCATCTGGCAGCGGTTGGTGTTCAACGCGCAGTATTATATAAACCGACCATAGATTATATTTTAAATCTACGAAACCGACTGAAACTGAGGGCTGAGGAGCGGTACCCTTCATACTCATATCTGACTGAAACCAACACAGGAGATCGGGTACTCCGTCATTTTCTTGGTACTTACCTGAAACTATTTACAAGTATAAAGTAAATTGAAGAACAGGATGTCCTTTTATCGGTCTCTTTAGAATTGAATAATAACAGATTGATTGAATGTCGTGTAACGTGACTGTGAATATAAGGACACTGCAATATATTGTTGGAAAATTAAATCTATCCTGCTTGCGTGTGATTCACAATAGAATATAAAAGACAGTTTATATTTCACACAACTGGTGAGAAATTCTCACCGAGGACCCCTCCTTGTTAGATCACTCTAACCCTGAGTACTGAGAAATATAAATAAAAGGACATTGCAGTGTTGGTTCCAACTCAACGTATGTTTTGAAATAGAGAAAATAAATTACTAAACAAAATATAAAACTTTCTCAGTCGATTATGAATCATGTTAAGCAAATCCGTTGGAAAGTTTCCACAGTTTGGATAACTTAATCTTTAAAATGTCTGAACGGTTCCATCTACGCGCCCGTGCTGTCAAACATTAAAGTAGGTACATACTGTACAGTGTCAGATGTTGAGTTGAGTTTTATATTAACTTTATATTTTGTTCTTTGTATATGCATAATAACAGCAACAATAAAGTATAAATACTAATTCAAAACATTCATTGAAAATTATGAAATTTATAAAAATAATAGTTAAAAAATCCGTTACTTTACTTATTTTCCGAAATCTATGTCAAAATGATAAGGACGTATTAGATATTAATTAGATTTGAATGTATGTACTTAATTGTATCAAGAGAGAAGGTCAAGTATAGTGGTGCGCGCGCGCAGCTGTTCGTCGCTTTCTGTTACCATAGACACACATACCATAGCGAAGGAAACTCCGCCCTACCGACCACATTATGGTACCGACTGTAATAGATACCTGTGTCAAACGTTACTCAGCTTAAAATTTTAATATGTATTTAGATTAACGAGACAACGATGCGAGCCATACTTGAGTGCAATGACCCTCACCAGATATTGTATTTAGAGAAATTTACGACTATGAGCTTGCCAACATGAGTCTGAACTACATTTAATATTATAATAATAATTAATGTATTCTATTCTAAAAAAAAATCTATCGATTGTGTATTTTAGTTGAAAGGATTAAGGTACAAATAAATAAGTCTATGATAATTTAAAATAATTGTTTTATTTTAGCTTTTATTGTACACAAAATATTTTCACTCTGGAATGTAGGGCGCGGGAAGCGGCTGGCCGCCGAAGATCTTTTCATTAACATGCACTATAACTTATTTCTTGGATACGATTCAAATGTTGTTATTTTTTGGATCCAAACCCACTTAATATTCTTTCATAAATATTCGAAAAAGAAGGCTTTATCGAGTTATTTTTTTAATTAAAATAAAAAATTAAACTTTAGGCAGTTTGTAAGACTGTCTAAATCAGTGGTTCTTAACCGGTGGTCCACGGACCACTTGTGGTCTGTAGAAGCAACCGAAGTGGTATTGGACCCAGGCGGTAAAAACCCTTTACAGCCCCTCTAGCATGAACACCGCGATATGATATATAGATCGTTTTTACGCTCAGTTGTCAAATGACTATAGTATTTGACAGTTACACGTAATAAAAACGTGATATAATGTAAATTGTGTTCATGCTACAGGAACAGGCATTCATTAATTGGTGGTCCGTGGTAAGCTTCGATCAACAATTCTATAGATAACAGTTTGCATACAAAATCGAAGACAAAAACTGTCCGCGTATGTTTAAACTTATTCAGCTACATTCGATTCCCAATGAACAAAGATAAATGTTTATGTTGAACCTAATTACAACTTTCTCCTAATTACAAAGGAATAAGGTTAAAAATAACAAAATGTTATTTCACACATATAACCTTTGATCTTATAAAACGAGCCCTGGTTCCTTTTATAAATTATATCTGATACTTGAAAACAAACGATAAAGGTGAAAAAATGAAAATGTTAAATAAACCTTAAGACCCACAAAGTAAAATATTTTTACCAGTAATTGGCCAGGGAGTTACTTCGTTTTGTATTAACCGAACTAATTTAAAATAAGATCTCACGCCTCAAGGGAGGCTATATTTACCGAGACTGATTTTACGCGCTGGCCCGTTACCTATACAATTGGTGATCGAAGGTGGTAAGACAGAAGAAGAAAAGGGTAAAGATCCACTGGCCTAAAGTTACCGATAGAACAGTTTAACGCAAATGAGTTCTGCGCCGGCCGCCTTCAACGTTTAAAAAGATTATCACAAATTTATAAATAACATATTGAAGGATATTCCAGAATATTCTACACACAAACATTATATATAAACTATGACAGCGCACTCGAAACCTAATAACCATCGCACGTTTGGCTATCTAAATATCGCGCCAGAAACTACACTCAAAGTCCTTCTGACGCAAACCCACTAGTACTGTGTATAGCACATCTGACATACCACCTCTATTGGATCTGAACGACATACATATATAGATATAATACGTTAGTACACAATGGCAGTGTCGATTAACTAATCTGTCTAGAAACTACAACGATACCTACAATAATTCTCTCATTATGTTTACATGTAATAGTACAATATACAGCGATTTTTGTTTAACCAAAACTTCTTTGAAGTGTGCGATGTTGTGGCAAAGCGAAATATCCCTTATCGCATGGATTTATTCATTGATCAGATGTAATTTGATATTCTAAAGCAGGAATCGATTCTGTTTAATCCACTTCTACGTCCGAAGACTACCAATGGATACAAAGAGAAAGGTCCATAAATCAATAACGCAACGCGGGCCCTACCCCCCAGTGCGCACTGTTCCCACAGTGTTTTGGTTAAATAAAAATTTCGTTGTATTGACAATAATATTATATTAAAACGCCATTATAATGACATTACAGAATGCACATATAACAAGGTCACACCGAGCAGTATTGAGTTAATAAAATTTGACGAATATAACAACATCGAAGGTCCCATCAATAAACACTGGAATACACGTAAACAATACTTACACGTAGACATTTATAAAATGCTTCGTTGGTTGTATCACATCGCTTCCGGGGCGTACGCTTTGAGACTAGGGCACCGATTCCCAAACTTTTTTACTTCTAATCCCCATGTAACCGAACATAAATATATAGTTCATAAATCTGGACTAATAAATTAATACTTATGACTTTATTTATTTTTTAAGCATTTAATTGCTAGATGTTTAAATCTAAAGAAAAGTTTACTAGAAAAAATCCACGCGGGCCAGGCAGCGGACGGAACGATGGCGCTGCCTTGCAGCTTAAGGCTAGGAAAATTTCGACGCGGCTAATAGGGCCGTGGTAGCATAATGGTCAGTGCATTCGCCCGGATAGCGAAGGATGCGGGTTCGTGTCCCGTCCGCTACCTGGTCCGCGTGGTTTTTTTTCTAGTAAACTTTTCTTTAAATTAATACTTACTTGAATATTATCATAAATGCGTTACCAAAACTGTTTAAAAATTTTAACAGATTGAGGGCAGCTGTTTATTTAACATACGCTTGCAATTTAATAGATAAATTTCAGATACAATGCATCATCAAAATTGTCAAAACATCATCAAGTTAACGTCTCCAAGCGCACGCCCCGTGTTAATTTAAATATATGTTATCACTAGAATCTAGACATTGACAAACTATCCATGCACTAACATTCGGTAGCGATTTGAAACATTTACAAAAATACAATATTTTCGCCATGAAACAAACATACACAATTGATTTCGACTCTAAATAGTATTTGTATACAACAAGGAATTGTGCAAGCGACGAGACAGATAACCGCACCACCAGGGGGCGCCCCGCCCCCCGTAAACTATAGAAAATTTGGCAACCATCATTTATTTCATATACATTTACAATTTACAATTACATACAAACATGACAGTTATATAAGTCTCATCAACACGATAAACATACTAATACATCTATTCCGAAACACTATAATATAATACTGTATAGAAACAACGCTATAGATTTATATAGTAAGCGTAACAATGTGAACAGAAGCGTGGCAGTAGACGGCCGCCCAGGAGATCCATTTTTAAATAACTCGCCTCGCGTCGAACGATCGATTTATACTAATTTTGACTCGACATAATAAATTGCGTATTTTTGAATCGCTCGACGTCAACGAGTGATCTCGACCACTCGTTGCGCGTTGGCGAATGATGGAGGCGAATGGTAGAATAATTGTCAAATTTCTGTCTGACATGTTCAACATTTTTTCTCAATCTTTTAAATATACAGATAAGATGACGATTTGTTGCGACGTTTTGATATTTTCTAACAAAAAAGGAAAAAGATTAAATAACTAGTTATTGGGACATACGTTTATTTTTCACAGCGGTAACGACTGCTATTTATCTTTTTCCGTGAAATTAATAAAAAAAAATGTTATATTTTTATTATTTTAAAGCATGTAACTGCTTGATGTTTAAATCGAAAGAAATGTTTTACACTTGTAAAAGTATTCATTTGACATTGTGGGTTACCTATAATGCGAAGAGATAGCGCTGATTTGCAGCTTAAGAATGGCTAGAAGAATTTCGACGCGGTCCGTGAGGGCCGCGGTAGCATAATTGGTCAGTGCATTCGCTCGGATTGCGAAGGGTGCGGGTTCGAGTCCCGTCTGCTCTGTAGGAAAAAGTCCGCGTGGAATTTTTTCTAATTCTATTTTCTTCATTAATATTTTGTATTAAACTGGTAACATTGTGGATGAACGATTCAAAAATACGGAAAACCAGTATCATGCGACTTTCGACGATACTATGTCAGGCGAGCGAATCAATAATAGAGCTCCAGATCGCGCGACATCGAGATTTCAATATAAACTTACAGTAAACATGTAAAAATATCAAAAACTTAATATTAAAGTTATCATGAGATTAGTGCTAGAATACAAGAAGGCAACGTGCAACACACTACACACCGTGTCCCGCGGTTTTCTTCGCCTCTCATCGGTCCAACAGAGAATAATAAACGCTAAGTATACGGCAGAAGGAGAGGGGAACCAGGCTTAGGGTTGCCAGCAATATAGTAATAATAATAGCAAATAGTAAAAGAGTGGATACTAACCCGCACTTACAGTGAAACGGAACATATACTACTTTAAAATATAGATGACATTATTACAACACACACAATATCTCACATATACACACAAACACATACACACATACACACACACACACATAACGTTTTTGTAATCATCCGGTGTCTCGAATCGAACCACTGCCTTTCATAACACAGGTCTTACCTAGCATGAAAGTCAGGGGTCCTACTTATAAGACTAAAAGATAGCAAACCATTCTTTGTTTATTTTAAGATAATATTGTAATAGTACTTGTAAGGTTTGATGAATAAACATTATTATTATTATTAAGTTATAACCAACTCGACAACTCCCAGATATAGTTGTAACAGCATTATAGGTCGGCAATTAATTATTAATAGTGTAAATAATTAATGTTGAAGTTCAACTTAAACTATTACAATAAGCGCTCGTACCGCTATCAATCACTGTAATAGATAAAGTGACAACCCTGGACAAAACTAAGTTGCCCTCTCTCCTTTCCCTACAATAACATGAGCACGTGGCGTCGAAGGGCTAATTTAATAAATATTTTTAATTCAATTCATATATATTCTAAATCTAGTACTAAACATCTCTTTTATTTAAAGGAAATTCCTAAAAACTATCAAGTAAAATAAAATTGAAAACCGCGGGATCTGTTCCCAACAAATACGTATTTTCATCTCTTTGAATAAAATGAAAACTCCAAAATTATAATAACAAGTTTACATCACATAGAATATAAATTGACGTCTAATTCATATCATAAATCAGTAAAAATATGCATGCTTTCCAACTGTCGCCGCCGCGTCGCGTTTCGCGAAGTTTAAGCCAATTATTACATAAAATATTAAAATATTCTAAAACAACCAGTTTTGTAAGTTTGTTAGTAATGGCTCCGCCCGCAGTTCGTGGAAGATCTTTGCCGACCTTGGTTTTTTTCACTAACTTAAGTATTATTTACATAAAGAGAATAATTTTGGGTCATGGTAAGCTCTTTTAACTAATGCTCTGTAGATATGCAGGTTAGCACTTACAATAGGATTGGCTGGATGTTTTTTTTAAGTGTATTTTAACAGAACACTTGCTGTAACACGAATAAACGTTTTATAGTCGCTTCCGACTCAGGATAACTGACATTTATGAAAAAAACGGCGTACATTTCGATAAGATTTACACTTGTATAATTGAGCATGTTCCATAATACATACAATACATAAATCTCCATACAACAACAAGGCAAAAAAGGCAGTTGGACAAACAATAATTAAAGCGTTTAATTCATGTTCCGCGACAATTTAACGATACACTATAATTATATATTATCATAGAGTAAGGGTACGTTCAGATGATAGGCGTTTAACACGCGTTTTGCTAACGCACCTTGACAAATACATGCATGTTGTTCGAGCTATGCTAACTGTTACTAGATGCTAACGCGCGTTTTTATTTGACGCGCACAACATGCGTCAGCAATCATCTGAACGCACTCCAAGCATAGAGTTAAATTTGAACATTGATAGTAACCTCGAGGGATATACTGTACTTCCAGGGCCCAAAAGTAAAAACTTCACAGTTTTGTTGTAATTTCGCATTTTTGTTGTTAAAAAGGTTTCTGTTAACCACGTTATTAAAAAAAATGTCACACTTATGCACTGGTAGTTTTTTAGAAAAAAATATTGAAAATTTTTACTTTTCTTATCAAGTGGTGATACTTCACACTAGGTTAGGTTAGTGTTGTGATCATAACGCGCGAGCCGAGCGAGCAAAGCGAGGGTGCCGCGGCAGCGGCCGGCGAAGCGCCAGAAAAAAAAATCTGTTAAAAAGACCTTTTCTACAAAAAAAAACAAGTATCACCTTTTGGGCCCTGGGAGTACAGTTTTACCACATCGAGTGTTTGAACACAGGCGATAAGGCCGCGGCTCGCAACCGGCTCCGACCAGCCTCGGCACCTTCCCCTTTCCGTCACATCGAGTTTCTCGACACGCATCTATCGCACATTTCACGTCACACCGGACGCGGGGCACCGTCGGGCGTTCGCCGACATATCGATCTATTGCAAACCCATAAAAAAACGAGGGGACCGCGCCGTCGCGGGCGGTGCATCACAGAGATCGCTATCATATTTATTACACATAATATATTTTATTTGTTTCTTAGGTTTTCGCGCACATCACTCATTACTCATTAGTTTTTACGGGTTAATGCACGAAACTTTATTTATTTATTGACGTTTCGTAGCCGTATTACAGGCTTCGTTGTCAGAATAAAACTTTTATTTAATTCGTCGAGCTACCTTCGAAAGACTTTTATTGAGCGTTCGGTCATTTCATTGGTCGATTTTTAAGTTTCATTGTCTATGTATGAATTTATCATTTAATTTACTTAATAAAGTATTTTATTTAAAATTCTTTTTTGTAATTTTGAGTTTATTTATTCGACCCTAACTACCGTAAACCACCACCGGTTCCAAAATTGGGAGACCTTTCCGAGAAGAACCGGCGAAACGGACTCAAGAGAGGCTTTCCATCTCAATAGCGTCAATAAATAAATAAAGTTTCGTGCGTTAACCCGTAAAAACTAGTTTTATCTTAATATATATAAATCTCGCGTCACAATGTTTGTCCTCAATGGACTCCTAAACCACTGAACCGATTATAATAAAATTCGCACACCATGTGCAGTTCGATCCAACTTGAGAGATAGGATAGTTTAAATCTCAAATTATAGTCGCAATTTTAATTTATTGCAAATTATTACTTTTGGGCGGTACGAAGTTCGCCGAGTCAGCTAGTTTAATAATATATTTTCACATCGAATCGCCGTAGGGTCGGCTGAAACGCGAAAAAAAGCTCTTCCCACAGAATCGAAGACGCGTTCAGTCTAGACGTCGTCATGGTTCGTTCGCGTGAAGTACGGGAGACATAGCCAACCTGGAGCGGGCTCGCACAGGGCGCGGTAGGCACGGCGGGCACGGGCGAGTGCGGGCTAGTCCCGCGCTATGGGGGTGCTGCACACGGCGCCAGCGGAGGGGGCGCGTCGCTCCAGCGGGGAGTCGCAGCTCACCGGAGCACCGTCGGCCTCCACGCTGGCCTCCGCTACGGGACTGGGCTCGCACATGGAAGTGAACACCGTGGAAGAGGACACCTCTCGCACGCACCGCCGCTGCTCCGCTGCAACGATACAACGCGACAACTGTCACACACCTGTTCGTAGGGCGGCCAAAGGTACTATCCGATGGCCCAACTATTCTTGGTCGTTCCCACGAAAGACATTAATCGAATTCGGGCACCCGAAGCAATATATACACTGGAAACTAAGTTCATAAATAAATGGAAAAATTAAACCTAGTCTGTTTAATTTACATCAAACATGCCATGCCGCATCTAGAATCGATCCCAAACAGACCGTTCTTTGTACATCCGTGATTGCCTAGTGCAACTGTGCGAGTTGCGATACAAATTTCGATCTACCCACGTTAATTTTATTATATGTGTACGCTCAAGTGTTATATGCATTACGTTAAAACTTAATTTTTCTCAGTAAGTAAATTGTATTATTCTTTTTGAGAAATAAAATTCTTTAACCATAATACGGACTTGAAGTATATAACGAAAACTACCCGAATACGGGCGTACTCGACTTCATTTACAGATCGCGGTACGTAACTCTTGTGCTGAACAGAACGCGGAGGAGATAGCAGCGCATGGCTGGGTACAACTGGAGAGCCAATCGGCACAACGCAAGCCCGCCCGCGCACATCGTTTGCCCCCAAGACATCTTAATTTTTACTTCAGCGCAATAACGGTCGACGCTAAAGTTTCGTGCCGCGACTTATACACTTAGTCCTTTATCCGAATTCCGTTGGCACTCGTATTCGGGCTAGCCAAATGTAATCGCGCCATAAGACGCACAATGAACATGACGGAATCTGGAATTCAGATTCGGAATTCCGTGAGCTTGGCGCGCAGACGTTTCGGTTTTTTTAGAGTCAAACCGAACGTTAGGTTTTTTCGTGTGTGCGCCGCGAAATCTGTTTAATGAGGAACATTTTGTATTTATAATTATTATTATTTTAAAGCATATAACTCCTTGATGTTTAAATCTAAAGAAAACATAACTAGAAAAAATTCCACGCGGACCAGGCAGCATACGGGACTCGAACCAGCACCCTTCGCAATCCGGGCGAATGCACTGACCAATTAAGTTACCGCGGCCTACACGGACCGCGTTATTGGGTTACCTAAGTATAATGCGAAGAGATGGCGCTGCCTTGCAGCATAAGAATGGCTAGAAGAAATTCGACGCGGTCCGTGAGGGCCGCGGTAGCATAATTGGTCAGTGCATTCGCCCGGATTGCGAAGGGAGCGGGTTCGAGTCCCGTCTGCTGCCTGGTCCGCGTGGATTTTTTTCTAATTATATTTTCTTTAACATTTTGCATGTTAAAACGTGCATTCAGGTTTCCAAATTGAAAATGCTGATCAGAAAACCGTACTTTTGCGTCCAGTCTAATGACCTATCAAGCTTTTGCTGTCATATTACTGGCAATCAAGGTCATGACGAACGGATGGATGGATAACCTGTTGTCTAATGGGGTGACTGATGATGCATTTTTATAATTCATGACTGACGGCTGCATGAGCGTCTAATGGCCGGCTAAAGGTAGCGGCAAACTTCATAAAGTAAACCACAGCGCAGTAGCAATTTTATAAACAAAACCGCCTACTGCGCTAGTTTATGTCTGTGGTTTACACCTACATCGTTTTAGAAAAGTGATGAATGATTAAGTACCGTTAGTATATAAATATTAATTAACAATATACATTCGAGTGTTCATTGTTTTGATTGTATTGTAAGCTTTAGCGCAGGAGGAGAGTACTCGAGTAGCTTTCATAAGCGACCTACTTAGTTTATAATTAGTTGGTGCCTGATAACATTCAAGGCAGTTTAAAACGTTGATAATTATAATAATTTCTTTAATTGAAATCTCGTGAGTAACTGACCAGGTAACTATGTAGCTGATACAGATTTCTGTGTTTTCTTAGATTTTTATCACATAAAAAATTAAATATGTTGAATAAATCGTTTTGAGTTTGTTATATTTCTCTCGGGACTCAATGGTTGTATATTTTAAGCCACCTCGTCAACTTCCACAGTGAATCGAGATAAGGAACGCACAGCATCTGCTCAGTAAAAATATGAATAAATTATGATCAAGAGCGCGCAGACTAAAAGCGGGCGAGAGAGGATCCAGAGATGTGACGCAGATGCCACTCAGATACAAATAATCCTATTTTTTTTTAAATGAAGACATAAATGTCGAGCCTCCATAATGCCGACCTCCAGCTGAGCCTGAAATGGGTAATATTTTTTTGAAATTTTACGGTTGTGCGTGTATTGTAAACGAAGATTTTTATAATAGGGTATTTGACAGTGTTAAAAATAAAGTGCCAATTGTTAGCATCTGTGTTTAGAATGAATATTGGCAGGGGTTTTTACTATTTTTACAAAAAAAATATTCATAATTTTACTAAAAACTGACGAAAAAGATAATAGTTTTCTTATCTATTGTCACGTGACCCAAAACGCTTGGGATTGGCGGAGCCTAAAATGGCGTCACACGCAAGTAAACTTCCGGTCAAAGTGACATTACATTGTATCGTTTGACGTTTTAATAACAGTCGTGTGACGTCACACACTAGTAAGACTCCATATTGTCCAGAGAAACGTTTTCGCGGCAACTTTAAAATGGAGTTTTTGATTTGGTTATTTTTACTGAAATACACAACAGAATGATGTATATCCACTTTTTACGGAGTCCATAAACATAAGTCAATAACGTGAGATCGTTTTCTAAAACTTGTCAAATACTAACTTGTTTTACCAAAAATTGAATGTTAAACTTTTTAATTATCTTAGATCCAAGAACTCATTGATATTGTAAAGTTGAGACTATAAATGCAAAGCCAGCGAAATGGTTTAATAACTTCATTTACTAAAGTCCGCCTACGAGTGAAAGTTGCAGATATCATTAATGAATGTGCGATTCCGGTCACGAATTCAATGAGTTTAATTAATAATAATATCCTACCGTCTGTGTTCTATCGTCACCGTTGAGAAATTAATGTACCCGCATTAATAAACATATCTAGGTCAAGATTACACGAAAATCTTAAGTTATTCCGGCAAAGGTGACCGAAACAAAAACAAAAAGATTTAAGGCAAAAACAGAGGTCAGCGCGAATCGAAATAACCGCGGAGTATTGGCGTGGGAAAAACGTGAGCGGATTACCGAGCGGACTAGTCGGTCCGTCTGCCCAGAACTGGTAATTACACAAATACATTAAACACAAGATAAATACTCCGGAGGATTGGAAGGTCGCTGTTGATAGTGCGCGAGACAAATTGTTAATAAGCTGTTTTCGTAATTGACGACCTCCGGGGCAGAGTGGTTTGTACGCCGGGTTTCATGGTGTCGCCGTCTCGAAAGGTCCCGGGTTCGAATCCCGGTGGTTGCAGATGTTTGTTTGATGAATACGAGCATTTGTACTCCAGTCATGGATGTTTAATATGTATTCCTATATAATTATACTTATATATGTAAAGTATATATATTCTATCCGTTACCCTAGCATCCCATAACACAAGCCTTACAGTGCTTACTTTGGGGCTAGGCTAATTGGTGTGAGTGTTGGAAATATTTATTATTTATTATTATTATAATTAGTTTTGGGAAACCTTAAACCAAACACGTCATTTCGAGTATCAAGTGCACGAAAGCTGAAATTTTAAATTGTCTGACGTTTCTCCGGCACGTTATTTGAAAAGCTTCGAATATATTTCGTTGTGGTCGCAAGTAGGTGCTTTTTTTTAACTCGAAGGTTTCTTGTCGACCGAAGCTTTATTTTTGATGTTGAGCGTTACGAATGCTCATGCGAACAACCCCTAAATATTAAGTCGTCACTGTTCAGGTAATGCCGTAAATTCTACTACTCTGGACTAGAAGCTAAGGAAAAACATGAAATACACAAGCCTTTTAAGTACAAGATTGTCACTATGGAAAATTCATCCAGCTTGAAGAAACTTGTTGTGGCAATTACGTGCCGCTCCACCCATCAATCTCGCCATGCCAGTTCACTTCTCACTCGCTACAAAAACACAGCAAATCGCCTTGTGAAGTTTTCCATTCTGAACTTAGGTATGGTGTACCCTGAACGTATTTATGGTGTACCCTGAACGTAGTTATGGTGTAGTCATAGTCATAGTCATTTATTCCTTAAACAATTTTCATCGTATTGGAAATCACAAACAATTTACAATAAAATTATTAGATAAAATTAAAATTACAATCCATTTAAATATGATTAGCATAAAATTACAAAAAATCTTATATAATAACATTTCAAAGTCAATTAAACAATTTACAATTAAATTACTACTTCATGCAATATTAATAAAATTAAATATTATTAAAATGTCAGCATACAATTTGAAATAAATCGATTATAATTTAAACATGTCAAAGATTTTTCATATTAGATTTAAATTTCTGTCATCTAAATATTCTTCTATGGAATAGTAACACTACTTCAACAAGAACATTTTAAGTTTGTCTTGGAATTTATATGGACTGTAAACGGTTTTCAATTCTATAGGGAGAACATTAAATAGCTTGATAGCTTGGAATCTCACGCAGTGACTGACAACGTTAAGCTTAGGTCTGAAGGCACTTTTCAAATCTTTTCGACGAGTTAGTTCCTTCTTTTTTCTGTCTATATCAGATTCGTATTTGTGCAGGTTTTTTACTAAATGGGATAAAACAACTAAAATATATAAGCAAGGGACTGTCATAATACCTAATGTTTCAAAATGTGGTTTGCACGAATCTGTCTGTGGGATACGCATCATAGTCCGGATCGCACGCTTTTGTAAGACGAATGCTGCCAAAATATTATATTTGTAACTATTGCCCCAGAACATAATACTGTAACGAAGTTTTGATTCAACCAGAGCAAAATAAACTAATTTAAGCTGCTTCAAGGTGATTTCATCCCTTAAACTTCTTATGGCATAGCACGCTGAGCTTATACTAGATTTGAGTGATTCAATTTCATTTGTCCAATTTAAATCTACATCAATGTGGATTCCTAAGAATTTTAGCGATTTTACGGAGTCTATATCTGTACCATTCACATTTATTCTTAAAATATCTGTGTTTCTGGCAGTAGACCTGAATAGCATGGCTGTTGTTTTTTTTGCATTCAATAAAAGACCATTGCCTGCAAACCAGTTTTCAAAATGAAATAGTGTACTATTTACTTTAATGCTCAGCTCGTCAATATCTTTGGCAGATATTATTGCATTTGTGTCATCGGCATAAATGGTTAATTTAACATCCGGTTGTTTTAGAGCCATATAATTAACTAGGTCATTCAAAAAAACTATAAAGAAAATAGGTCCTAAATTTGAGCCCTGTGGGACACCTCTTTTTAATATTTTTAATTCTGATTTACATATTGTCTCGACATCATTTATTATTTTTTTAATTTCAATAAACTGCTTGCGACCTGACAAATAAGATTGAAAAAGTTTTAAATTTGTACCTCGAATTCCATAATGTTCCAATTTCTGAAGCAATATGTCATGATTTATTGTATTAAAAGCTGAGCTTAAATCCAAAAACAGACCACACACTTTCAGCTTTTCATTTAACTTACATACAATATCATCAACTAAGTTATTTATAGCATCAGTTGTTCCCAATTGCTTCTGATATGCAAATTGTCTCTCATTTAGAATACCATTTTGACGTAAATGTGATAGTAGTCTAATTTTAATAAGTTTCTCAAAGATTTTTGATAAAATTGGTAATAAAGAAATAGGCCTGTAGTTTTTCGGTTCTAGTTTATTTCCTTTTTTATAAAGTGGGAGTACCCTTGCTATTTTGAGTTGTTCAGGAAACAAATTTTGTGCAATACATTTATTATAAAAGCAAGCCAATGGTTCAGCCAAAATGTTGATGTGCTCTTTTATCACTCCAATAGGTACTTCATCATACCCGAACGAGGTTTTATTTTCCATCTGCCGTACAATCTTCAAAACATCATGCTTTGTTATTATATTTAAATGCATATCAGATTCAACTCTTTTTACGCTTTCCTCCAATATATTTTTTGCTATATTTGGATTGTCTCCATTTGATGAGTCTATCGCATCGAAACAGCTTGAGAAAATATTTACTACCTCTTGGGGATTGCTTATTATTTTATCGTTTACTTTTAGTAATATTTCATCTTTGGTTTTAGCTTGACATTTACTACTTCTATTAACTATTTTCCAAATTTCCTTATTAGAGTTGGATGCCATCATGATTTCTTTCTGTACAGTCATTTTCCTAGCTGTTTTTAGCACCTTTCTATAGATCTGTAAATATGCCCTTTTGTATTGGTTTGCATACTCTCCGTGGCATATTTTAATATTAAGTGTCAAAAATCGTTTCATCTTACTAGATACTCTAATTCCCTGTGTCAACCATTGCAGTCTATTATTTTTATATGGTTTTATTTTTCTTGTCCTTTTTTTATAACTAGTTTTGAACGAGTTTTCAAAATTTTTGAGAAATGTATTTATTCCTAGGTTTTTCCAATCGATTGCAAAGATCTGTTTTTCAAACTCTTTCGAATTTTGTTCATTGTAAACTCTACGCATAATCTTAATACTCTTGTTCTTATTATTAAATCCCTGATTGTCCACATTTAAGGTACAGTATAAACCCGCATGTCCATCCGCAAGTCCATTGTGATCTATCTCAGTCATTATTTCGGTATCGTGCATATTGGTCAAAATATTATCAATGCAAGATTGCGTGTCATTGCGTTTATATGTCGCAGTATCAATTAAACATTTAAAATTATAACATGTCAAAAGTTTTAAAAAATCATTTTTTTGTCTATCTTCCCTTAATAGATTAATGTTAAAATCCCCACACAAAACACAATTCTTATTGAAAAAATGTTCCAAAAACTTTTCTAAACTTTCTAAAAATACATCAAAATTATTTTTTACTGGATTTCGATAGCAACAACAAACATTAATATTCGACTCTTTATCTTTTACACCACATATCTCAAAACACTCAGATTTGTACAATTTCTTACAGAAAGCAATTTCTTCACAATTTACATCGTTTTGTCCTAATATTATAGATCCTCCACGCCTTTTACTCATTCGGAAATTATAAGCTACTGTCCTATAGCCTTCCAGATAAAAAGTAGGGGCAGAAGATTCATTTAAAAAATGTTCACAAAAACAAACATAGTTCAAATCTACCCTCTTTGAATGGATATACAACTCCAACTCATTTTTCTTATTACTAACACCACATACATTTTGATAAAAAATATTAATATTATTGGTTTTATGCGTTATATTTAAGTGATTATTATGGGCGAAAAAAGGAATTGCAGTTTTTAGGGGATAGATCCGTATAAGTTGTTATATCTACATTACTATTATTTAATCTGTTATCTATCTGATCTTTATTTAACATGAATGACGTATCAGTTTGTGTATAAGTACTTTTAAACTTTTTCAGTTCCTCTTCTTGCTTTAATAATGTATACTGTTTAAACTTAAAAACATAATCGAAGTGTAATATCTCCTTTAACAATGAACGAGTAAGATATAATCTCGAAGAAAATTCATTATAATTCATATTTAGATACAAAACATTCTCATGTCTACTTGAAATAAATCTGAACACATAATTTAGCTTTTGTACATTTAAATAAGAATTATGGGGAACCTCACAAATGATAACCTTAGCGTGATGTACGCCACTCAACCACATATTAAGTTTAACTTGTAGAAGCTCCGGATTTTTGTCGTTTATTCCTCCGAGTACAACAATAGTGTCCCTTTCCGTCAGATTTATTGATTTGGGATTCCATATATTCAATACCTCGGCTAGTGTGGCACCTGGTTTCATATAGCAGTAAACCTTGAAATCATCACCGGTTAACTTTTGCAATCCTTGCCTAAGATCTCTACCTTGCTGATCCGCCAAGATGATGATTTTCTTTTTATTATTATCATGATATTTTTCATTGATTCCTGTTTTCTCCAAAACATTCTCTAAAGTATCACAGGTTACACCTCCGTTTGTCAGGGTATTTCGGTTTCCAGAAAAATTGTTCGAAAAATTATTCCTATATCTGTCCAATTCTGCAATGTCAGATTTACGATCACAGCGTTTTGGCGTCAGATTTAAATCTAAAAATATATTTGGATAGCTATGTATTGGAGATCCTCTTGGCAATCGCATACCTATGTTCAGTATTTTGTTTTTTAGTGGAGTATTTTTGATCTTTCCAACTGTCGGATAGTTAGTTGCCAGCTTTTTAAGTGTTGTAATCTGTAATTCTTTTTCCCTTAGCTTTAATTTTAACTCATTTAACTCCACATTTAAATTCTCCACTTCCATATCCGCAATTATAAGTTTGTCTTTAACAATTTGTAGCTCGCCTTTGAGTTCTTCTATGTCAGGGTTATGATGTGAAAAACCATCCAATGCGTCACTCTGCACACTCCCAATAGTGGTATCCATTATAGTTGAGTTTAAGACATCATCACTAATCTGATTTACTATTCCTGACAAATCTATTTCTGAATTTGATCGAATTACTTTCTTCCTTATAGTGACTGTATCCTCCATCTTTAATTATAGAAGACTAACGTAACAATAAAAGCACAATTTGCCACTGTGTTTAAATACTTCACAACAGATTCACAGATTTCTTTAGTTCATATTATTATCGGACTTCTTCTAAGGTAAAGTTCAAAATATATTATAAACTTTTAATCAGATGACAATTTCTTGTGAAATATACAAAATAAAAATGTCTTATAAAATATATGTATATAGAAAATAAAGAGAAAAAAAAAATGTTCCGAGGTTTGAAACCGGGACATAACAAAGCTATAAGTGACACTTTATCCCCTTAGCCAGCGGGCTCTGATAAGTTATGTCGAAATTTTTAAACTGTTATAAATAGCAACAGTTGAAGTCCAACGTCCGTAATATTTACAATTAGAAAACGGGTAGGATGTTTCAAGAACCCGATTTTACACCACAAAATTGTTCCATATAATAATATGCTGTTTTTGTTTTTATTAAAATGTAATATTTCACCAATAGGTCGTCTGAGAACACTTTAGTTTGATTTCCTCTTAAATCTTTCTTGTATAAGCACCGTTAACACAGTTTGATTTGTTATTTTGTTTACCGGTATATTGTCAATATTTTTGTAATGTTCTTTATTTTTATTTATTTTTTATTGTTTTTTAGCGTTATTGCACCGAGTTAAACACTTAAATTATGAAAATAGTCACTTGATATATTTTTAACTTGAAACAATATAACGGAGCCGAAGTATAACATATAACGGAAACAATGTACCCTGAACGTAGTTATGGTGTACCTCAAGGGCGTCGCCAAAAGATCGCCAAAATGTTGATCAAAAGCTTCATGCTCTCGGTGTTCATATTTTTTATCCTTCATAATCCTCCCACCACCCCTCTAATCATAAGCTGGCGACGCCCTTGGTGTACCTACATAGTTCTTGGATATATCTGATGAATTTCAGTATTGCCTCTTGAAGTCGCAGGAACACGCAGCAACACGTAAAAAAGAATCCATTTTATTACTGATTTTGTTCAGGTTATTGGCTATATACTGGATCATTGAGCCTTTGCCAATAACAGGAGACAAGGGCGCAGTAATAAAACCCCTTATATTGCGGCAACCCAATATTGTAGACTATAAACATGGTAACATGAATGCAGCGCCGCAGGCTAATAAACTCCTACGTCGACGCGGTATATAATTCTCAGAAACAGGATCCTATGGCAATCACGCATCATAACTACCATAAATAACACTACTCTGACGAGCTTCATGGCCGAGCAGCGAATGACCCTTTTTTGTACAAGAGAACAAAAAAGTTGACTATTATGTCAGCTTGATCAACATTTAGATTCAAAGAGCAGAAGAACGATAGATATCAGAAAAAAATTGCACAACAATCAGCTATTCGACGACCTCCGTGGCCGAGTGGTTTGTACGCCGGGTTTCATGGCTGTCGCCGACTCGAGAGGTCTCGGATTCGAAACCCGGTGGGGGCAGATATTTGTGTGATGAATACGAGCATTTGTACTCCAGTCATGGATGTTTAATATGTATTTATATAAATATACTTATATATGTACAGTATATGTATTCTATCCGTTACATAACACAAGCCTTATAGTGCTTACTTTGGGGCTAGGCTAATTGGTGTGAGTGTCGGAAATATTTATTTATTATTTATTTATTCAAGTTAACACAATTATTGTTAATTTCGTTACTGAAAATGATATCAGATTAACAATAAGCTGCGATGCTGGTTTATAAAAGACACATCAATCAATCTTCTATATATATAAAACTCAAAGGTGACTGACTGACATAGTGATCTATCAACGCACAGCCCAAACCACTGAACGGATCGGGCTGAAATTTGGCATGCAGGTAGATGCTATGACGTAGGCATCCGCTAATAAAGGATTTTGATCAATTCTACCCCCAAGGAGTTAAAATAGGGAATGAAAGTTTGTATGAAACTTTGTCAATTTGAAGCGAAGCGAGGGCGGCCGCTAGTTGTATCATAATCCTATTTAAATATTTTGAGCGCATATTTTTTATACTAAAAACAACCTCAACATCTGTTTACTTATCTACCTACAATGTAGTGAGAACAAATTATTCTTTACTTTATTGAGACAACAAACAGTCATTATAAGAAATGTGTCAAACAATATAATGCTAGAACTGAATTATTTTAAACTATAGAAGGCCTAGTGAGCCAGCAACAGGCTTAACATAACTCGTCAAGTTTTTTTTCCTAATGACAACTGAATATTTGTATTGCAATATAGTAAAAAGTTTTCGAGGAGCTCGATGGCGCAAGTGGTTAGCGCGTTCGGCTGCGACCGTTGAAGTTAAGCAACTTTCGCAGTGGTCGGTCATTGGATGGGTGACCAAAAATTTACTATCTCGAGTTCCTCCGTGCTTCAGAAGGCACGTTAAGCTGTTGGTCCCGGCTGCATCTGCAGACGTTAGCACCAGCCAACACGCAATGGGCCCGCGTGGTGAGTCATGGCCCAATCTCCCTATGGATGGATCCATAGGGAAGGCCTGTGCCCCAGCAGTGGGGACATTAATAGGCTGATGATGATGATGAAAAAGTTTTCGATCAGTGATAGTACGTATCGTTGAGTAAAAAAAACTGAGTTCTTGGAGATTCAAGACGATTCAGATCCAAATTTCCCTAATATAATTGGGGTCCCGATGAAAACACAACCGGGGTGTAGCAAGATACATGCCGCACATTGCTACCAAGTGCGACCGTCAAGGTGCATCTTTGTGCGTCATTTAAGAACCCCTGGGTTTGGCCTTTATTCTCAAGTCGTAAGTCAAGGAGACGGGATAGACAAATGGGAGTGAAGTAATTGTCCCCACTTCAGTTTCTTTATTCCCATTTGCCTCCGGTGGCAACCCCTGCGGGGACGACTGGGAATAAACGAGGTTTCTGGGCGTACCACGAGTTGCATATTCTCATTTCGTTGATAGTGTTTTCCTCGGAGTTACACAACTTAATTCCACCTTCACCTTTTTATCACAGAACCACCAGAGAGACGACAAAACGCCACAGATATACCGTACAGGTCCCGCAAACTCGTACTAAACGGTTTGCTTCCACCTATATCGTTAGAACACCTAGGTTGTGGAACTCTTTGCCGGAATCTCTGTTTCCAGTCACCTACAATCTGGGGCTCTTCAAGTCGCGAGTGAATCGGTTTCTTCTAGGCAAGCGCGTACCACCTTAGGCTGCTACGTCGCTCTTCATCGCGTGGCTGTCAAGCGTAAGCCTATTTAATGTAAAAAAAAATGTGATATACATATGCAGGTACTGACCGATCATATTGTGCAGGTTGTCGATAACCACCTCAGTGTTGCAGGTGGCATCCACGGCGCGCTGCAGGAAAGAAGTCCACGCACTCAGCTCCGCTTCCTGACAACAAAACAAACAGTGAACATTAAAACAAATTCAATATACTGACAAATCCGCACTATCCGTAAATGGAATGCTCTGCCTGCTCACGTGTTCCCTACTTCTTACAACCTGGGATTCTTTAAAAGAGCCGTGAAAAACAACATGCAGGCCGGCAAGGTGAGGATGGCTGGTGTGGCAGGTAGAACTGCTGTGGGCGGGTGCGCGGCCATTCGGAGACGGGTTCCGCGACCACACCCGCCCTCTCGGCATGCACTTAGGGGACCGCGGTCCTCATAGTGCGTGTCGGGTGACGGTGCAGGAGTATTGTCTGGTTTTTAGTGGTTGAAGGATGCGTAAGGCATTTTCCAGACACAAAAAAAAAAAGGTAGAACTGCTGTACTAGCTATCTTCACGTCTGATCTTCACCATCACTTAACATCAGGTGGGGTATCTATAAAAAAAATTAACAACCTCGCCACACCTACAAGAGCTTCTATAAGACCTCCGTCTTCTAAATTCCTTATAAATTTTTCGCATAATGAAAAGTTTGTTTGTCTGTGAACTTGAACAGATACTCATTATCCTCAGACTTCTGACATCTATGATGGATAATAATGAGTCATATGCTTTACCTTTGTCGCATGACATAATCAAATGGGCCTTAAACAATGACGTATAATATAGAAAGAAATAAAGACATTTTATTGGCCTTAAAACACGTATTTACATAAATATAACAAAGCAAGATAGGTCAACCAGGTCCGTGCCTCAGCTTAATACTACAGCAACACCAGGGCTGGTGAAGCGCTGATAATTCTGGCAGGGCCTAAGGTTGTTGACACATTTTTTATAATAATAATAAAACATAACAATAACAACCATACCAAATAATATAAAAGAATAATAATAACAACATAGCACAAGTAGTCCCCGCCCCAACTTCCCTTTTAGCAACAGCCGTCAATAGAGCGCACTAAATGTTATCTGGACGAATAGAAGAAGAGCTTTTAGCGATAAGACCGCCCATTGAAGCACTCTTTTACAATTCTAATTTCCCTCATTTCTGGACTGTATTGTCGTGTTTTCAAAAAACTATTTTTTATTGTATTGTGCAAATTAGTCTCTTTCACTCTCATGCATAAAGCACATTCCATCTCGCTCTTTAGCCTTCACGTGTCAACGGTGTCAGCAACTGTCAAAATATTTTTTCGTTAATTTCTTTAATACTGTATTTACGAATGGAATGACACGTTTTTCTTGTCTCTTATAATTCTCGTGTCATGTCTGTACTATCAAAAAACGTAAAACATTTGCACGTTTTAGCGAAGTGCAGCCGCGGCGAAAGAGCGTGCCCTATTGAATGGATGTCTGGCAGGCAATTACCTGACTTTCGTATTGGCAAATAAGAAGCGTGTATGAAGTTTCTACAACTATAAAACATCATAGGACACAACCCGCCACGAGGACAGAGTGCGGGTTGGTGGGAGCTAACGACTGCAGATGCAATAGGAACCAACGGCTTTGTGCCTTCTGAAACACGCAGGAATATGCTTCAAGTTTTTTTGTATTCTTCTAATAATCATAATCAAAATCATTTATTCACTTTAGGCTGTTACAAGCACTCATGAATGTCTAGAAGCTATGCCATCGGTTCGTAAATCTACGGCGGGAGACCTTGTACTGAGAAGAACCGGCAAGAAACTCAGCGAGGGCTGTTTTTTTCTAACTGTTTCATTATTTACAGAGTCGTCAAATTGAAAAATGACTTCAGAGATGATTCATGAAGTCACCTTTCATTACATAATTATTAAATATACATTAATTGTTTACCTGCATTTTGATTGCTGTGTCATACAGTATAAATACAAATAGTGTTATTTATATTAAGTGTGACTTAAACATTAACTTCAATATTAAGGAAGTTAGGGCAGACTCATCTCCGCTGGCAGCACCCGTTCATTAATAATATCACACTTCCCGATACTCTTACATAAAAAAAAATACACTTTTGGCCTCTTTAAAACTTAAAGAGTACATCCAATTTTGAAAAGTCTCTCATTAGTCTGGACAAAGATATGATACTTAAAATTTCTATGCAAGTTATTTCGCCTGAGAGCTCAACCTTGCAACAGATCTATAAGAGAAACACATATTTGAATAGTTTAAACAAACGAAGTATTAGCTCTCTATTTAATTACAAATGTCCCGCTAACGGCTGCGCGTGCGCTGGTCGAATTGGCAGCTGTTAAATGTAACGTAACACCACACGATTTAGTGGTCAAGTAGATATACTAACTTTCATTGTGATTTATAATACTATCCAGTAGTAGTTATATGTTTATACACTTAACATTTGTATTGAAATATAGACTCCAAGAAATTCATATAAAAAAAAAATTATGCAAAATCTGATTGATTATCGAAAATCTGAGGAGCACGCATTCTGGTCACTATTGTTGTGAAAAATTTAAAATTAATACAAGTCGCCCTATAGGTTACAAACATTATATATTGAAGTAACTCGTACCGTACTATAGTTTGACCGAAACCAATCCAGTCGATGCCACGAACGTAGTAGTCGTATCTTTCCAACTTTAACCAGAGATCATGTACCATCGACAAGGTGTAGGCGTAATTATTAGTCAGTCCCATCCGTTAAATTTATCTTATGTTATAAATTGTAGCAAATTGAGGTTGTAAGCAAAACTAATAGTTTTTATTGTGTAAGTAGGTAGCTCACTTACTGGCCCAATTAATTATATTTTCTTTTATTTTAGAATTCCGCCCGCGCACCCCTTTGTTCCCTCGCGCCCCTAGGCACATGCCTAGTTTGCCTTAAGGATAATCCGCCTCTGCAGTGAAGGTTCACACACGGGGCAGTAATTGAGACCTTTCCTCGGTCACCGGTGACCGGTCACCGGAACTGGGGCGGGCGGGGGTCGGTTAAGAAGCCGTACATCACGCAACCTGACAGATTCCTGCCGCAGCGCGACCTGCTAGGAAACCACGCACACTAGAGCTCTTACTTCTTAATAACTTCCGCGACGTTCATGACCGAACACATTTCAATTGCTATGATTGAACAACTGAACTACGTGTATCTCATGTTTCCGCTTACACTTGAGTACACACTTGTAAATTAATATAAAAGTAAAATCGTTTAATGTTAATTTTTTTAGACCGACCCAAGTCATATCTAAAGAAAGTTACCTTTAAATTATTTGATCTCAAATGAGCGCTCTCTCAATCGTAGGTAATAAATCTGCCCAAATACAAAAAAAAGGAACTATGTTATGTCATAATTTTTATTATTTTAAAGCATGTAACTGCTTGATGTTTAAATCTAAAGAAAGTATAACGAGAAAAAATTCCACGGGGTCCAGGCAGCAGACGGGACTCGAACCCGCACCCTTCGCAATCCGGGCGAATGCACTGACCAATTATGCTACCGCGGCCCTCACGGACCATTCTTAAGCTGCAAGGCAGCGCCATCTCTTCGCATTATATGTTATGTCTCCTTATGAAAAAAAAGTGTCGAACCTTCGATCGAAATGTCGAGCGCACGATATCTACTTTAAGCTGTTGTAATTAAAACTGGATCGAGTTGGCTACTCGTTTATTATGTGTGCAAGTGTATGGAGGCAGTGTATACCGGCAGACGCGGCGGCACGTGCGGTGCGTACGCGCGCCTATATATAGAGGTGACGGTCAGGGCCGCGCGGTCGCTGCACCGCGGCATACGGCATACGGCAACCGCGCGGCGTGCGGCCGCCACGCGCCGCCCACGCACCGCCACCGGCCTGACCTGACCCGCGCACCACCATCCAAACGCTTTTAGCGATGACGACCGCCGATGCCGTCACACAGAAATCAACGCCGACCTCCTTTCGTTGCCCAGATACGCGGATGACCTATGACCATAATGAAAAGGCCCGTGGGATCACTTCGAGGAGCTTACGATTTGCGAAAGACCGACACGCTGGGAGGCAAAAGGAAGTTTTTGGGTTAAAAGAATAACTTAAATTAAATTTTAAGAACTGTAAAATTTGAAATGTCGAGGAGCTAAGAAGTGGCGAAGAGGTTTGCGATTATTAGACGATAAAAAACTCTAGTAAAAGCCAGCTACCGGGCGTTAAACTGGTTGACCGCACAGACCGCACTGCGTTCTCAGTCAATTGCGACTTCTCACGTTTGTATTATCATCATAGATATTCCACGGTCCCGTACGAAGAGCTTTGCTTCTACCTTTTTATTATGAACTGCCCAATTGTGAAAATTGCTGCTTACTTTTACTTCTCTGTTCCCTGATACATACAATTCAGGTCTATCTAAATCGCGAAGTAAACAAGCTCCATCCACCTTAGGCCGCGTCATCGCTTTCCATCAGACGGGACTTGATCAAACGCGAGCCTATTTAACAATAACAAGTAAGGATACTAAGAAAACGATTCATAGCAAAATTTCGAAGAATACAACGTGCAAACATCCGGAAGCAGCAGCAGCAAGATCATCAATGATAAATATAGAACAGTTTATTTGCTTATATCGATTAAGAAGTAATCATTAACAAAAGATCAAGAGTACTTAATAGTTAAAAATGAGTCTCAAATGAAAGAAATTTCAACAGCTCTCATGAAACATTAACAATAATTTATCAATAAAAAGATCTCGACTGACGCAAATAGTGTAGACGCAACAGTTTTAAAGAACAAAAAAAAATCATCACACATGTAACGGGATGAAATTCGTAGTTCGATTTTTTCTAATGCTGATAACTAAACAGCTTTACGATCCAATCACATCGCACGTAACTACAGCCAAAACCGCATTCTCTTTTTGGATAGACAAAAAGCGAACAAAAGTCTTTCAAGCATCCTTGATTGCCTCTTTAAGCACACAAAAGATTTCCAAGGATCTCGGGCAGTCATCTTCGTGTCGACTAGTTGGAACAATTTTTTGCACGCAAGCAAGTACGTGAGTAGCGGGAACAGTTACATTTCATTTGATTCGAGCCTCCC